ACGAACGCTCTCCACTTGAAATAGTCCTAAGGTTAAGTATGGATGAGGGAGAGTCCATTTCCAGTTAATGAAAAAGCAGAAAAGCATATTTACAAAGGAATAGGGAACGAAAATCTCTATAATGCAAAGAACTGGCAAGGACGGCAGCAACGGTAAAACGAATTGAGGAAAACAGGTAACAATTTGAGGCCTGATGACTGGATGGGCTTATTTCAGATGGCAGCAATGCATTATAGGGATGAGAAGCAAAGGGAATCAAACCAGTCTCTCAGTGTTTCAACTGAACTCTGGAATGAGATGCTTCTATGACAAAACAAGTCCTGGGAAGTGACCAAGGTGACATGAGTTTGAATTGTTATTCAAGGTTCCAAAGACAACACGAATGATATGCTGTTTTGTGTCTCAATGAAGTTTAGCCCCAATTAGAGATGGCAGGGCTAGGTCAGAAAGACGAAAGCTGCTGGTCTCAACAGAGCAGCATAATTTGCAGAGGGAAGGGGCCCATAGATGACGGAACGGTTAGGCTAGGTTTGTCAAAATGTGTCTAACACTCTCACCTTACCTCCAAGGAGTTCAGCACTGAATGGAGTAGAGAGATGCAGATATGCTAGTCCCACGGCAAAAGGGAAAGTGCTCAAAAATGCTGCAAAATTCAGACCCCAGCAGAGGGAAGACTATAGGCAAGCTCCGATACATGTTAGTGACCAATACTTAGATTTTTCCAAGAGATAGGACAGACACTGTACGCTCTGTCCACAGGAGTGCTGCATCAATTTTTCTCTCATTAAATGGGGATTTGGACTATACAGCCTCTGTTGTCATCTTTAAATTCTATAACCTTTTTAGGAAGAAACATCCTTAGAAATCATCTATGTCTTACCCTGTCAAGGGGAGGGGCTATAACTTGTTTCTTTGTGACTAACTTGCATATGGTAGGAAACCAAGGTCCACAATAGATAAGCAACTCACATACGGGGCCAAACACAGAGCTAAAACCCAGATTATTTTATTCCTAAATCCAGTGTTCTTTACATTATGTAATTCTAAGGTTCTCATCTGGGCTTCTGAAAACCTTTTTTGAAACTAAAGAAAATTCTGATTTCATCCTATGTCCCTGACACTTTCAAAAGGGCTCCTTAATACAAGGTGGGACCACTGAGCCATTTCTAAAGCTTCTTCTTGGGGTGCCTTTTTCCCCCCACGGACAAGATACACAACCCAGCTCCAGAGATAAGGCGAGGGAAAAGTTCTGCCAAATAAAGAAATTTCATGGATCTTTAAGGAAAGATTAAATCAAGTCTTTCTTCCTACCAAGGTAGAAATACACTTCAAAGAACAAACAAGTGAGGAGTGAAGAGAGTGAAATTCCAAAATCACTCTAGTTTATTTACATAATATAGTATTTGATTGCATTCTTTTGTACTGTTCCCTACTTTTATAATGTGTAAAATGTTTCACCATGTTCCAATTAATGGTTGAGCTTTAAAGGAAAATATTCTGGATCTTTCATTTATTGGTATCAACCACAATGTCAAGACCCCCAAGAAATACTTGATCTAAACTGGGAGAGTCCAACACAATTTTTTTTTTAATGGACTTGCCACCTTAAGAAACTTCAAGTGTATCTTTTTGTTGGCAAGAAAATTATTTCCCAGGAGGTAATTAGATTTCCCTCCCCGCCCCTGCTCTTTCCACCAACCCTCCTCCTAACATACACATAGAGAGTTACACATTTCATGAAACTGTTTTGAGGCCAAGTTCACAGCAAGCAGAGTCTTAACATTTTCATAAATGATCTGTCCTTCATATCTGCATAAGCTGGGATCCTTGGCAAGGGGGAAAAGGTGCCATTTGCTTCTCTGAAGTAACTTGGGGTCTGAATTGGTTAAGAAGCCAAAGAGAAAAGGAAAGCATTTCCTTGTTTTCCCTATTAACGGTTTGTTGCAAAGGGATAAACTTCTCAAGAACCAAAGGTGAGGAAATGTGTTGGTCATCACTGGATTCTTGCTGGAAACAGAAGGCAGATGAAATCTTCAGGAATCACTTCACACTCCAAAAACACTATTCTCAGCAATGATAATAGGCTAATCACACCACTGATCAAATTATTTCAGCTCAGTTCTTTATTTTGCAGTTAGAGAGCAAATGAAATTAGAAACGCTTTGGCACAGGTTAAAGGTGGCTCCCATATACTCACTAGTTTTCCTCAGGATTATCAATACTCCTTACCAAAATGCACTTTTACTTAGTTACCATTTAAAGTTGCCACCATTGTAAATGACAGGGGGTAGGGGTGGGTGTGGGTGTGGGGAACCTGAGCATACACGTAATTTTTAAATCTTTTAGATGTAATGCAATCAACCATATCTAATATTCTTTCAGAAAACAGAAGAAACACAAAACATGCTCAAAGATCAAGAAATCAAGTCATGCTTTTCATAAGGCACCACCAATTACCCTGATAAATTGTAAATAAATATGTAAGGGAATAATCAATAGGGAGTCTTGAGGTTTACAAGACATTCCTGTTTAGACCACTTGGAGTACTGCAAAAGAAAAAACAAGCAAGATACAGCTTGAATAACCCATCATATCCTTGCCCAGTGCACATCATTTGTTGCATAGTGGTGACTGGATATGATCCAGGACAAGAGAAGACCAAAATTCAAAACAATACATTAACATCCATTCTTCCTCATACTACAGTATGAGATACCACTTGGGACATTCATATCCAAAGAAGTAATGGTGTAATTTAAAAAAAAAAAGGAATTTCAAAAGGAGTATTTAAGGACCTGCTGTAAAAGCACCTTCTACACACACATGAAGCTAATCCACATGTGAAACTTTATCAAATCTGGTTATATGTGGGACTTCAACAGCTGAATTTTTCCACCATTTACACTTTTCAAATCCCAATCCAAACTGTCACTTTATCCCTTAAAAAGTAGGTCAGGAGATCGAGACCATCCTGGCTAACACGGTGAAACCCCGTCTCTACTAAAAAATACAAAAAACTAGCCGGGCGAGGTGGCGGCGCCTGTAGTCCCAGCTACTCGGGAGGCTGAGGCAGGAGAATGGCAGGAACCCGGGAGGCGGAGCTTGCAGTGAGCTGAGATCCGGCCACTGCACTCCACGGAGCTTGCAGTGAGCTGAGATCCGGCCATCACTGCACTCCAGCCTGGGCGACAGAGCGAGACCTCCATCTCAAAAAAAAAAAAAAAAAAAAAAAGGTGGATTATCCCATCCTTTGAAAGAGAGGCTTTCTCAGTTTTTCTTTTCATTCTCCTACTGTAAGTGCTGGTTGATATTCACACAAATGTACTACAGAATTAAAATACTGACAAGCAAGTAGTTTCTTTACATGCACTGAATTGCATCCAGAATCCAAAAATTAAGCAGCACAAAAAGACATTTTTTGGACACCTACTAAAGACAAAAGTAGAGAAGAACAGAAGTAAAGCACAGGTAAAATCATGGTAATCTTACAGGTCAGCCTTTGTCCTTTCTTTAAAAAAAAAAAAAAAAAAAGGAAGGAGGGAGAGAGAGAGGGGGAGAGAGAGAGAGATGGGGTCTCACTGTTGACCAGGCAGGACTCAAACTCCTAGGTTCAAGCAATCTTCCCACTTCAGCCTCCTGACTACACTGCACTGGAGTACACCTGGCGGCCATGTTTTTTTATTATTAAAGTACACTGTGGGCAATCACAGTTTTAATGTTTGCCTTTTCAATTATTTAGAGTATGACATGCAATAATTTATAATTTTACTGAGGTACAAATTTGAATCATGCAGGCAAAGCTGGTGTGCGGCAGCTTAGTGAGGAAGTCCCGCATCTACATATCCACATGGCTTTGCTGCATTACGTATCAGGAAGCAAAATAAACATCTGTGGAAGGAAAATCTCCTGTCTTCTCCCCCAGCTAGAAAGCTAACTACTAGTGCTACATTTGTACTTCTAAACTTGGGGATCTGCATAGTTCTAATGACTTAGCTTTTGGCCGGGCGCGGTGGCTCACGCCTGTAAGAATACCAAACGCCTACCATTTTTCCATTTTTCTTTCTATAACCTTTGCCAAGGTTAAAATACTAATGATGAAGAACTGCAACTTCAGTTGCAGTTTAGAGGAGATAAGAAGGGTAGAAAGACATTTTAAATCATGTCTTAATACAAAATATTACAATACAGAAGAGAGCACGTTGTAAATAATTTTCTCTAAGTGAAAATAATGCTTTGTATTAGAACACCAACATTTCTTTAAATAGACCAATCTTGTTTCGTTAATTCCAAAACTGCAGATTTGTGTATTTTTTTGTTTTTCCATTGATTTCTCCCTTCTGTTCTTCTCAGCCTTGGTCTAAACCTGTGGTCAAGTCATACCAAATCCTCCATGACTTTCAAGTAAATAGAGAAAATCCCACAGTATCAATGAAAAGACATATTTAAGTTTCAAAACGTCAGAAGGTAACAGGAAGCTAGTCATACGTTCTCAGCATCCTCATGGCTCTCCGCTGACGGCGGACTAGTTAATGGATGATTAGGAAGGAAAAATTAAAACTGTAAATGTATTCCAGGCATCTGTCACTTACAATTACATTCAATTTTTAACCCACGAGTATCTGAAGACTTTTACAAAGAAGACCAAAAGGCAAAAAATATTGTGCTTTCTTGTATAACATCAACCAGAGGATTTTCTTAATTGATAATCATTAGTTTGGCAAAAGGAAAACTTATGAAATCAGTTTTTTAATTAGTTACCTTGCAATATCCACTGAAATCTTGGATCATACACAAACTTACTTGAGATGAGACCTCAAGACACATGCACAGCAACACTAACAAACCTCTGGACAAGTCAAAACACTCAAAAGGTTATACAGTATTAAGGAAAGAATGAATAAAAAGTAGGTAGTATGAACTACAGAGAAAACATTTACAGAAATTGGATTTTATAAGAAAACATGTTTCTTTTTTTTTTTTGTAAGATGTCTTTTGAGTTAAATCTCATACCCACTCAAACTGTAACTGGACAGTACATTTCACTTCTAGTTACTAGAAGACAGTTCTTTAAAAGAGACTGGGGCAAAAAGGGAAAAGGAGACTATAAGCCGTTGCTAGGTCCACCCCAATCCCCCCTTTAAAAGGAAAACTGATGAATTTAAGTCAAACCACAGATTTTTTTAAACCAAAATAAACACACCAGACAGACAGTGATGACAAAACACTATTTTTAGTCTTTTTTTTTGTCCTTTAAAAAAAATTAGTCCCCTTCTAATAAGAGTTTACATACAGCTTACCTAAAACCTTAAGAACAGAGAACACAATAGGAGGGAAGAGGACACAGCACCATAGTTTCAAACATTCACACACAAAAGAAAAAACAGCCAGCACAGACTAGAGTGAGACCAAGTTTCCCAACAGACAGGAACAAGTCCCAACACACAAAGGACATATAATTATCTATATGAACAAAAGCAAAATGGAAGATCTGGTCAGGCTGGGATGGAGGAGGGAGTGCTAACTCCTTGTACTACAAGGAAGGAATGGGATTTTTTTTAAAGCAAAAAAGAAAAAGCAAGCCCCCAAATGGATTTTTGATGTTGAAACTCTGTCATATGCTGCTGGTAACAGTAAATATATATATTTATATATTCATATATGTATATTAAAAAAGGAAAAATAATCTATTTATAGAACAGTCAGTAGTCAGAGACATTTAGAAAAAAGTAAAAACAAGTCCTTTTTTTTTCTTTTTAAAAATGGATTTACTAAAACAACTTCATCACCCAGAGGTACTACAACCCCGCATCCTCTGATGAAGCCATGGCGTTATTCAACAGCATCTGCTGCGGGCCGTAGTTAGAAATTGCCAGTGTTGGAAACAGCAGACATTGGGGTCAGGGCTGCAAGGCAAAAAGCAGTTATTTGCTGGTCTTGCTCACGGCCATGCCTGAAGCCTGGTGTCTGGAATACTTGTGAATGAAGTTTTCCCCAAAAAGCATGCATCACTGTGGCTCAGTAAGATAGTATGACTGGTCATCGTCGTCATCTTCTTCTCTTTTTTTTTTGGCAGAAGCCTGAATCCATGTACCTGCTCTTCCCTAAAATGTAGACCCAAGACAGCAAGACTTTTCAATGCCAAAAAACGGCTCCTTGCCTTGTAGTAGGTTCTTCTCCCCAGAATCCAATCTAGTCAGATTTCTGATCTAGATGACATCCTTATCCTTGCAAAGATAAGGTGACCTGCCCCAGCTGAGAGGTTCTCCTATTTGGGGTGTTCTTCTAGCACAAACAAGCACAAATAGCTGATGTCAATAGACTGTGATACCATTCCTTGACGTCTAACAGAAATAACTTTGGCCCTGTTACTCCTAGTTGTATCTTTAGGGCATTAAGTACCAGGTAACAGTGGAAGGAAAGTGGTACTCCAATCCCTCTCCAACTATCCCAATGAAGGCGATCCAAGCAATTAGCACCTTCAGTTGGTGCTGCTCCTAAGTTGTAAGTCTCTAACTACTATCAGCTGGACAAAAGCCACATCCTACATGCCCTGTTAGCACATCAATGTATTAATACTAACCAGCCACCCTAGAGCTCAATCAAGCATCTAGCCTTAATGCAGTAAACCACACTCAAAGGAGACATGAACTATTGGCTGCTGTACCAAAGAAGACACCCTCTGCATAGATATGTTGACAGAGAATGTAACCCCCAGAGTCCACGCAAAGAGGAAGTCAGCACTAAGAGGACTTTCTCTGAAGGCCATTCATCTTTGGAAGCAACATTCCAAGTGGATAGAAACCACACTACTTGATGACTAAGGTCTCAATGTGGTCCATTTCCCCCCATGTCCCAAACTAACCAAGCATCTGCTAACTGGTCTCTTTCAGATCCTCCACTGGTAGTTTGTAGCTCATTATGAAGGAAGGAGGTGGTGCTGGACCTGGGCTAACTGGCCCCTGCTTCTTTGCACAGTTTATACAGATGTAATCTTCATTTTCAGCCATTTCTGGAGATACACCCACACAAACTTGATGAAACCACTCATCACAGCCACCATCACATTGTACCCAGTCTACCTGTAGGAAACAAGATTGGGGAATGTTAAGGTTACATAAACATTAAGCCTAGAACAAAAGCAAACCAAAGAGCTTTCTTGGCTTAAATGATAGCAAACAACTGGGATGTCTAGAGATAGACAATGACTTCTTATGGGGTTATTTTTTAAAGACAGAAGCTGAGAAGTTAATACCCCAAATTACATTTTACCATAGTGTGTCCACAAAATTAGGCCTCTTAGGTACTCCATTACCTCATGAATACCTGGGGCTCCTTGTGAGGCAGAAACATGTTTGAGAAAAATTTGACAAAAAGGGAACTTCTAATAGAGCAGCCAAGTAGTTTTAGCTAATATTAACAATTTCTAGGCTCTAAGACAATGCAATTATCAATCAAGAAAGGAAGAGTACAACAATGTGAAGGCAATCCTGTGTATTAGCTTTATTTCAAAGAGATAAGCCAAAGTACTAAGAGCATTAAATACCTTTTTAGAAAAGCAGTCACATAGGCCACTTTTAAAACTAATATTTTTTATTCTTCTCTTCTTCCGTTACAAATACAACTCCCTATAAAAAGTTAGCAAATATCAGATGTCAAATCTTACAAATTAACCAATTATAACAGTCAAAGACACAGGTCAATAGATCACTCTGGGGCTTAAAATTCAAATCTGAAAAGCTGACAGGTCAGTGGCAGGTGTCAGACTTTGACCCTTCTGACAATACTCTGATTACAGGAGGCTAGGAAGGGATTGTAGTTTGGTGACTTTAAGCCTTGGACTTAAGAGTTAACAATAAAGTGACTTTTGGCTTTTATATTTGAAGGCTGATTGTAGTAGTTTTTACAGCTAATGTCATGGCAGACAAGAACATTTAAGTTGAAAAGAGCCACTCTCCCTCACCTCAATACAAAGGTTGGTCATTTCATTGGCAACATAAGAAGCCACTTAAAACCATGAGCTTTACCAGAGATCAAAGGAAGGAATAGAAAGGGATCAAAGAAGTAACTACACAACTTATGAGAAAGAACAGATGAAGGAGATTTTGGCTAGGTAAATGAGTTTCATTCACAGAAAGTGAGTGGTTTTCAAAATTCGTTTCCATGTCCTATAAAACAATTGTCAAATCACAGTAGTCATGTCCGTAGTTTTAGGCTTGTAATAAGGGGTGGGAAAAATAATTTGTCAAAATGACATTCTACTTGTATTGTTCCTAAAGTTCTAGATCTTAAGAAACAATACTGTTTAACATAAAGATTACTCAACTCAGAAGTTCTGAGTTTCAGTGTGTAATTTCAAGCAAGTCACTTAACCTCATTGAGTGGCTCAATTTCCTCATCTGAATAATGCAGATGACATTAATTACTAGATTACTGAGAGGATCCAATGAAATAATGTATGGCAAAACACCTAATTCACTGCCTAGGATACTGGAGGCACTTTTCAGTCATGGTCTCGTGGCTCTACTCATTATCCTACACTACACAAAACGTTTTGCACCTTGATACAACTGTCTGCAGCACTGCTTTTCAAAGTGTGTAGACCACTGGCATCAGAATCATCTATTGTGTTTTGTTTGTTAAACATGCAGCTGGGACCTATCACCCTATGAACTCAGAGTGTCTGGGGAGTACATGCCAGAAGCTTCCATTTTTAATCAGCTCCCAAGTGATTCTCATATATTCTAAATCCGATTGCTGCTGGCCCTCTGTGACATCACTTCCTGTAAATTCAGAGCAACTTAACAATACCTTCCTAAACTGATTTGTTTTTGTTCTGTAATTGTTTAGCTTCTGAAGTCTGTGCAATAAAAAACTCACCAAAACGTTCCTATTGTGGCAAACTAATCAGAGACCAAAAAATAAAAAGTGAAATAATGGCATCTGTGCAAAATGTAAAAACTAAAGTACTGCAAGCAGTAAAGACTCACAAAATGCTGGCTGTTAGAGTAGGTGCACTCAAGTGTTTTGGCTGTTTGGGACAGACAAAGGGAACCGGATAAATTGTGGCTCTCTGTGCTGCCCAGGTTTGAGATACTATGCTGTTTATGATGGTGCCCGTGAACCAGCAGATCCCTTTACCCTTACCTCCAACCCTCTTAATCCGGTCTAGTCCCCATTCATGCTAATCCATTGGGTAAGAATGTTATCAATGTATCAGTATTTGCTACAAAGAAGTGTCCCAGGTCTTTTGAAACCTAGTGTTTGCACTATACTCACTGGCTTACAATTTCCCAAAATTCTCTCGCAAATAAGACAAGACTTTCCCTTTTGTGATTTTCACTCAAGGTCCCTTCCTAAGCCTAGATCTCCCATTTCAAAAGATCTACAACCTTTCTTGAGATATTGGTACACAAATTCTAACCTAGACTCCAGGTTATGTAACAATTTAGCCTGATAATAGAACAAGTAAAAATAGTCCTTCTCTTTACCAATATCTTTTTTATCATGCTCATCTACTAACAATCAAATGTGAGTCCTACTTTTGTGTGAAAGGTCCACAGCATCATGAAGCAAACTAAAGTTTGGGATGCCAACCGAATCCACAGATGATTCTGACACAGGGGCAACAGACCAGGTAGTGTCCTGAAAACTCAAGAACACAGAATTTGGATAACTGTATAAACTGTCATTTCCCTTTTCATTATTTCTAGGGAGATGTATTTAGTGAATCACAAAAAGAATTATTAAACTTCACAGCTGTGAACTGTTCAAATACTAAATGATAAGAGATTCTACATCACAGTACAAATAGGTTACTATGTTTAGATCTGGGGGAAATGTCTGTTTTAAAAAGAAATACATTAAAACGAGGAAATATTAGTTTCATATTCATGTTTTGCTGTATGGTTTCACATTTACACTTAAAAAATACTTGGCATAGTATATTTTGTTCATTTCTTAAAGAATAGTACTGTACTGGGAAAGAAGAAAATCTGGTAATTTAGTGATATTCTTAGCTTAGTAATTAAACTGAGCTTTTGTTATTTTGGCATTTAATATCTTTTGCACCCCAAGTTTCCTAGTAAAAGCAGGATTTGAAAAAGGAAAACAATTCATTTAGTGAACTACAACACACGTTCAGAATCCTTGTGTATTATTTTCTTGGTGCTCTCAATATTCAGTGACCAACCCTCCCCATTTGCCGAGGAATGACAGATTTCTCAGTATGTGGGAATTTCAGTGCTGAAACAGGTAAAGTCCCAGACAAACTGGGACAGTTGGTTACTCTAGCTGAACATCATGCACGCGTGTGCACGCGTGTGTGTGTGTTACATACATTTAGGTAACTTAATCTTTGATTATCTGTGCCAAAAGGAGGTATGAACTAGTAAAGCCATTGAAAACACAAATACCTTGATTGAGGAAACACCCCCGTGAAAATCATAAATCAGGGTGGCTAATAAATAGTAAAAATCAGAGTTCACAAATTTAGTCTCTTAATTTACCACACAAAACTTCTCATGTAAGTAGGAATGGGTAAAGGAAAAGGCCGACAATAAGAGGGTTAAAAAAAGTGAAGAGAAAAAGAAGACTATTTTCATAAGTAAAACTATTAAATGTTTATTCTAATACAGAAGAAAAATACTACTTAAATTAGTAGCCTGAAAGAATTTGGTCTTTTTCCAGTTAACTTGTTTTATCTTTGGTACCAATAAGACTGAATAAAGAGTTCTGACAGAAAAAGATTCTGAACTTTAAAATTAATTTTTAAAAAATAGTTCTTTGTTAATAATAATTTCAGCTTGACATTAATTTAATAATCAAAGGAAAAATTATTTTCAAAACCTTTTACATTATTCTGGTATTGTCTTTCTTTTTCTAAAACATCTTGAAATTGAGGCTAGGCACATTTAAACTAGCCTCATTTAATCTTTCTTTTAATTTTTAAAAGAGCATTTCTCAAAAAAAGAGCTGGGCGTGGTGGCGTGTGCCTGTAGTCCCAGCTATTCAGGAGGCTGAGGTAGGAGGACTGCTGGAGACCAGGAGATCAAGGCTGCAGTGAGCTATGACCACACCACTGTACTCCAGGCTGGGCAACAGAGTAGGACCCTGTCTCAAAAAAAAAAAAAAAAAATTTCTATCTGCATATTTTGGGGGAAAAGTCATAGTAATTATTGGTTAGAGAAATCACAGTAATTACTGGTCAGAGAATTAACCTGAAACCAAGTGAACCCTAGAAGTTATTTTTTGCAGAATGATATTTTAAAGAACAAACTGGCCTAAAACGCATGATTTTCTTTTCTTTTTTTTTTTTTTTTAACATCATCTTGCCAATCTTTTTCTTTTTGAGACAGGGTATCCCTGTCTTGCCTAGGCTGGAGTGCAGTGGGGCAATCACAGGTGCAACCATAGCACATTAACTATAGCCTTGAACTCCTGGGCTCAGGCAATCCTCCTGTCTCAACCTTCTGAGTAGCTGGGACTACAGGGATGGGCCACTGTACCTGGCAAAAGCATTCTTTTCTTATTTTGTCCTAAACATGTGTGTTGTATATTAAGTTTTCTCAGAGAAATACTAAACACTGAAAAAGTTTTAACATTCTTTACAGAAACTTTTATAGAACTGTAACTGTTATTTAGTAAAATCAATGTCAGGAATAAACATGTAGAACCATAAAAACCGCAAAATAGCAGTAACAGGCAAAATATCTATAATCTGAAATAACTTTTGCTTAAAATGAAACACATTATATAAACTAACAACATAGGGTGGGGCACACATTGCTCACCTTTATGTATTTTAACAGTTCAAAATAGACACTTTCTCTGAGCACTCAGCCAAATCTCCTTTTGCTCCATCAAAATGTAGATGATAACTCTAGATTTTGTTTACAAAACACCTATACTATTAGGAGCAAATCTCACAGTTCTTTCAAAAATAATGATCACATCTTAGCACTTAAGGTTGCATTTTTTGGTTAACAAGTGCTTTCATAGAGATTGTTTCGTCTCATCATCATAACCCTTTGAATAAGGCAGGGCACCTGTTAATTTGACAATTTCAAAGCAAATGAAAAAAAAAACAGCCGAAGTGTTTATATTGCTATAAGAAGACAACAGTAGGCCGGGCACGGTGGCTCAAGCCTGTAATCCCAGCACTTTGGGAGGTCGAGACGGGCGGATCATGAGGTCAGGAGATCGAGACCATCCTAGCTAACATGGTGAAACCCCGTCTCTACTAAAAAACACAAAAAAACTAGCCAGGCGAGGTGTCAGGCGCCTGTAGTTCCAGCTACTCGGAAGGCTGAGGCAGGAAAATGGCGTGAACCCGGGAGGCGGAGCTTGCAGTGAGCTGAGATCGCACCACTGCACTCCAGCCTGGGCGACAGAGCAAGACTCCGTCTCAAAAAAAAAAAAAGAGGACAACAGTAATAATAGATGAACTGAATCCTATTTAAATGCTGAGCAGAAGGGAGGGGAAAGATTAAGTGATAAGGAGAAAAAGTACAAAAATAAGACAAAAGGCTCATGATAGATATAAACATGATAGAAAGAACGACAGGAAAGTTTAAAACGGAAACATCCTACCTTGCTGCTCGTCTTTAAACTACCATAAAATTAAGGGAGAAAGAAAAGGGAGAAGGCTCTGCCAGTGCTGAACCGCTGCACTTTCATGCCCAAAGAGAAAGTTAACTCTTCCTCAGCCTCTTTAATAAACAAACTCAGATGGAAATAAACGCAAAATTAAAGATAAAAATAATATGCACATATATATGTACTAAAATGCTTTAAAATGTTTATAACATAGAATGCTTATACAATGAATAGATGCAAGTCAGTGAACGGTCTGACAATGACATAAAACAAATGCCATAGAAAAAAACTGGGAAGGAAACACTAAAATATTTATAGCTGTCTGCCTTGGAAGATTAGACTACAGGATATGTATTTTACTATACGCAGTATTCATTTTCCAAAAAATGAACAGAATACCCCTAATACATCTCATTTAAATATGTGTCATTTAGTTTTGGAATGTGTTTTTGTACTTACATCTCAATTACCGATGGGGTAGAGGTGTTAGTGGAGAGAACCTGGTCTGAGAGCCGGGATCTAGGTTCACGAGAGCAAAGTATTGCGTAGAAACCTAGTCTGAGGCTTGGAGATCTGGGGTTCTACAGGGCAGAGGTGTTGAGTGGAGAGAGCCTGGTCCTGAGCTGGGATCTAGGGTTCTACGGGGCAGAGGTGTTAGTGGAAGGCCTGGTCTGAGGCCGGGATCTAGGGCTCTGAGGAGTAGAGGTGTTAGTGGAGAGAGCCTGGTCTGAGAGCCGGGATCTAGGGCTCTACGGGGTAGAGGTGTTAGTGGAGAGAGCCTGGTCTGAGAGCTGGGATCTAGGGTTCTACGGGGCAGAGGTGTTAGTGGAAGACCTGGTCTGAGAGCCAGGATCTGGGGCTCTACTTTGGTTTTGCTGACCAGCTCTGTAACTTTGGTCACATAATTATCTTCCTGAGTCCTAGTTGCTGCTTTGTAAAATGAGCAGCCTGAACAAGGTAAACTCTTGGTCCCTTCAAGCTCTAAAAATGTTTATAATTATCTTCCCTGAGTCCTAGTTGCACCAGCTGTAAAATGAGCAGCCTGAACAAGGTAAACTCTTGGTCCCTTCAAGCTCTAAAAATGTTTAAGTATTTCACTGAAAAAGTGAGGGCATAACCTATAGGGAATAGAGATACAGTTTTATTTGTTTATATTTTCAAACTGAGGCACTATTAGAATTCTAAATATCAAATAGTATAATGAGTATAATAAAATTAAAACTACAGATTTATCAATATTCTTGATAAGAACTGTAACAGGGGACTCCAATTATTTAAACAACTGGAATTTTTCATAAAGTCTGAGACTATTACTCTCAAAAGTTTGTATCTAAAGAATGGCCAAAACAGAATTACTACACTTAAATTTTAGGGTTGGAAATTTTAAAACAACGTTTTTTTTGTTTTTTTTTTTTGAGATGGAGTTTCACTTTTTTTGCCTAAGCTGGAGCACAATGGAGCGACCTCGGCTCACTCCAACCTCTGCCTGCCGGGTTCAGGTGATTCCCCTGCCTCAGCCTCCCGAGTAGCTGAGATTACAGGTGCACGTTACCACACCCGGCTCGTTTTTTGTATTTTTAGTAGAGATGGGGGTTCACCATGTTGGCTAGGCTGGTCTCGAACTCCTGACCTTAGGTGATCCACCCACCTCGGCCTCCAAAGTGCTGGGGTTACAGACATGAGCCACCATGCGCAGCCTAAAATAATGCATTTATAGGTTTGAATTATTTGTTCCCAAAGATTTGAAGAAAATTATATTCCATTTAGGAGAGTGCTTACAGGTCTGAGTGTGAGTAAGATATGGACTAAAAGTTTCAAGTCTTTGGAATACAATCTTAATGCAATTGGCCACAGCTCTTACAATACTGGCCCAGGATTTTCTTCAGGCCACTGGGACTATCTGACAAGGTATTTCGTTCTCTGAGTCACCTTACAGGGAAGGCATAAGATTATTCTGAAACTTGTTATGCCCACTGCATATGAAATGCACCATTTGCCAGGGAATATCACATAGCTTCTCTCTGCTCCTGTCTCATTATGTTCACTAAGTATATGATTTCTAAAATACAACACTTCTACTAGGCACACTAAGGGCCTCACTTTTCAAAACAGTTTATAGAAATTGTACAAAAGATATTATGTTGGAAGTCCAAATCCTAGAATCAAAAACATACTATATATTGATATCAAACAAGTGTCTCCACCACTGTTGTTCCTTGACCTCTCATGCTTGACCATAAACAGTCGGAACTCACCTTGTCCTTGCAGGGCCTTTGGCAGTTCTGTGCTGCGCACACAGCATTCTCATCATCAGACTCCTCTGCTCCTGACCAGTCATACTTTGAGGGAATGTCCAGCACTTTCTTCTCTCTTTTCTTTTCAGTACTCTCTTTCACAAGTTCAACTTTGGCTGCAGCAGCCTTCTCCTTCTTTTTCTTCCTCTCTTCTTCTTTTGCTAGTTTCTTGGCCAGTTTATTCAGCTCCTTTGATTTGTCTGCACTTAATTTTAATTTCTTCTTTTTAGGTTTGTCCATTTTCTTTAACTCCTTGGACTTCTGTTTTCCTTCTCCAAAAAGTTGCTCTACCTTTTCTAGCTTCCGTTTCCGTTTCTTCTCTGAAGAGTCCTTTCCTTTCACTTTTAGTGGTTTCTCTTCCATGCTGTCATCCTTCAAAAATACAAAATTGGGAACAATTTTAAAGCAAGACAGTTAAAAAACTACTTAGTATTACTCTCTTATATGAGGTACCTAGAATAAACACATTCAAAGAGACAGAAAGCTGAACAGAGGTTACCAGAGGCTGTAGGGAAGAAGAAATGAAGATTTGTTTAGTGAGTATAGTTTCTAAAAAATTCAGAGGGGGCTAACCAAAAAAATTCAGGAAATGAATAGTGGTGACAGTTGCGTAACACTGTCAATCTACCTAATGTAACTGAATTGTCTACCTAAAAAGGGTTAAATGATAAATTTTATGTTATGTATATTATGCTACAATAAAAAACATTTATGGGCCAGGCGCGGTGGCTCATGCCTATAATCCCAGCACTTTGGGAGGCCGAGGCGGGTGGATCACTTGAGGTCAGGAGTTCGAGAGCAGCCTGGCCAACACGGTGAAACCCCGACTCTATTAAAAATACAAAAATTAGCCAGGCGTGGTGGGGCATGCCTGTAGTCCCAGCTACTTGGGAGGCTGAGGCAGGAGAATGGCTTGATCCCAGGAGGCGGGGGTTGCGGTGAGCCGCGATCAATCTACTGCACTCCAGCCTAGGCCACAGAGCAAGACTCCATCTCAAAAAACACAAAAAGGATTTATGTTATTCTAAAGATATTTAAAAGACATTTTAAGAAGGCAAGTATACTATTCAATGAAGATAACAGTAGAAAATCACAAGTCTGAAATGAAATATTTATCTTATATTAGCTTACTAGGAGAAAAAGGGCACACAAAAAAATTCAGTGTTAGCATATTAACACAGTCTGTAGCATCTCTGTTAGAGATTAAAACATACACAAAAAGCAAACTGTACTAAATTAATAACTTTTGAGGTCTTCATTTATTACTAGTAAAGTTCTTTCTTAACCCAAATAATAAAAGTATTGGTAGTTATTTTTAAAAAGTCAGAAAAACATAAAATTGTATCCATGATCTCATTACACAGAATATATAGTGACTTTGCCAACAGCTAGAAAACAGTTCGCATGACAAAGCAAAAAAAAATCGTCATTTTTGTTTTTGGCTTTTTAATACTGTAGCTAGTATGTGCCAATGTAATAAACATTTAAAATTTTAATGGTAAAAGTGTATCTAGTAACAGAAAGAATGGGAGGGGGCATCAGAGAAAGAAATACTGAAGAAATATAACATAAACCTAATAATTCCCTTGAGAATTCATTTTTCTACAGATTTGACACTTGAAAATCTTTGACAGGAACCTAAGGATCAGCAGAATCCAAAAAAACACTGGATTATAAGTGCCTTAAGTCTATTACATCTTAAATAAGATATTTAACCTCTTAATACTTTGTGCTTCCTTATCTGTAAAATAAAGAAGATTGGGTAAGACAATGAATGTGAAGAAAATGCTTTGCAGACTGGAAAACACTATCTAAATTAGGTTACCTAGACCTGACTTTCAAAACAAAAACAAACTATAGTATTATGCTAAATACATCTGCGTCAACTCCAGGTGGCATGGTACCATTCCATTACATGGAAAGAAGGAAACTAATGAAAAGAATACGAGTCAAATGGCAGAATTCAAATCCAGGTCTCTTTATTTTTTACTGGATGTGTGACCTTAATTTTCCACCTCTCATACTTACTTTCTTCATACGCAGAATGGGTAAAATACTTGCCCTCTCACTCCCCTACCCATTCCTCTTCAAGACGGTGGTAAGGACCAAATGAGCTCATGGATATGGTATCACTGTCTCATCAAATGAGCTCATGGAATTGCTATGTAAGTGTGATATATGAATGTGGACCTTCTCTCCCACCCAATCTACTTCTATTTAACCATCCCTGTGCCTCTTTTTTATAGTTACTATATATTCTCCCCTATCTCTGGGCCCTCCAATAATGACAGTCTGGGCTAAAGAGGTTGTTCTAAACTAGATGGTTATCAATCACGCCCTTGCCCACTTCTTTTTAGCAAAAATGGCCGTTTTTTTCAACTTAGATACTACCTAAAAGCTTAATAAAGAAAACCCTAAGTCAAATCTCTGGTGTCCTACAAGAAGGAAAGGAAAGGAAAGGAAAGAAGAAAGGAGAAAGGAGAAAGGAGAAAGGGGAAGGGGAAGGGGAAGGGGAAGGGGAAGGGGAAAGGGAAGGGGAAAGGGAAGGGGAAGGGGAAGGGGAAAGGGAAGGGGAAAGGGAAGGGGAAAGGGAAGGGGAAAGGGAAGGGAAGGGGAAAGGGAAGGGAAGGGGAAAGGGAAGGGGAAAGGGAAGGGGAAAGGGAAGGGGGGAAGGAAAGTTAGAAAGAAAGGAAAGGAGAAAGGATAGGGATGAGAAAGGAGAAAGGGGAAGGAAGGAAGGGGAAGGGGAAAGGGAAGGGAAAGGGAAGGAAGGGGAAGGGGAAAGGAGCGAAGGTGGAAAAAGGAAGGGAAAGGAAGGAGGCAGGGAGCAAAGGGCAGGGAAGGGAAGGAAAGGAAAGGGAAGGAAGGAAAAAGGGGAAGGTAAAGGAGGAAGGGAAAGGGAAGGTGAAGAAAAAGGGAAGGGGAAAGGGAAGGGGAAAGGGAAGGGGAAAGGGAAGGGGAAAGGAAAGGGGAAAGGAAAGGGGAAAGGAAAGGGGAAAGGAGAGGAGAAAGGGAAGGAGAAAGAGAGAAAGGGAAGGAGAAAGGGAAGGGGAAAGGAAAGGAGAAAGGAAACGAGAAAAAGGAAAGGAGAAACGAAAGGAGAAAAAGGAAAGGGGAAAGGAGAAAGAAAAGGAAAGGAAAGGAGAAAGAAAAGGAAAGGAAAAGAGAAAAGGAAAAGAAAGGGAAGGGAAGGAAAGGGAAAGGGAAGGAAAGGAGAAAAGGAGGAAAGGGGGAAAGGGGAAAGGAAAAGGGAAAGGAGAAAAGAGAACAAAAGAAAAAAAGGAAAGGAAAGGAGAAAAGAAAAAGAAAAGAGAGAGAGAGAAAGAGAAAGAGAGAGAGAGAGAGAGAGAGAGAGAAAGAGAGAAAGAGAGAAAGAGGGAGGAAAGGGGGAAGGCAGGAAGGCAAGCAGGAAGGCAAACCAGCAAGCCATAAAGCCCAATTTCTTTGACTGAAGTCGGAAAGTAGGCCAGCCAGATTACTGCCCTCAGCCATCCCTCTGCCAACATTTATGATACCTCTAAGGAACCCAGGCATTCTAGTTTTATAACCACTGTTTAAATAAGTATTAAATCCACACCTCCATGATATGCAAGAATCTGTCTTCAGAGGGTGGGTGTGTGGCCTGCAAAATCCGCCATATGTGTTGAGTCTCGTCCAGAGACACTTCCAGGAGGTCTCCAACCATCATAAGTTCTTCCAGTTGTGCCTTAGCTCCAGGTGACAATTCCAGCACCGGAGGTTCCAAACTCCGGGGCACCAAAGGGCTCTTCCGAGGTTGTTTCCTTGGGGTGCTAGAACCTTTCCCAAAAAATACCATAAAACAAAGCAAATAAAAATTAAAACTATGGAAAAAACATGTTTTCAAAGTAAATATTTACAATAGTCCCCCAGACCCCCAATACTAACTTCAGATATCTGGATTAATTCTATCAGTATGAAAATGTAAACACAATTAGAAACAAATACAGACCAAAAAGGCAAACAATTCCAAGGCCCACTCCAAAAAAAAAAAAATGGTTTGGGGTTATTAATAAAAAGCGGTTCTTCCAGCCGGGCGTGGTGGCTCACGCCTGTAATCCCAACACTTTGAGAGGCAGAGGCGGGCAGATCACCTGAGGTCAGGAGTTCGAAACCAGCCTGATCAACATAGTGAAACCCCATCTCTACTAAAAATACAAAAAATTAGTCAAGCGTAGTGGCACATGCCTGTAATCCCAGCTACTCCAGAGGCTAAGGGTAGGAGAATCGCTTGGACTTGGGAGGGGCAGGTTGCAGTGAGCCAAGATCGCGCCACTGCACTCCAATCTGGGCAACAAGAGAGAAACTCCATCTCAAAAAAGAAAAAACAAAAAAAATAGTAGTTCTTTATCCTGAATGTTAATTTCTATTGAGTTTTTATCATGTGGCAAGGGGAGCAAGGAACCAGAATCTCTCCATTTTAGAGTATACCAAAAGATTAAGCATTTAATAAAGCATTTGGCTGCCTTATGTAAATAACTGGTTATCTTTCTAATGAACAGAAAATAAGACACAGTTCCATAAAATCCTGAATTTTATTATAAAGAGATAAACACCCTCCATTTTCCAAAGTTGTGACCTAAAGTAATGTGATTTGTTTTTGCTGAGGGAGAGAAAAATGAACATCACAGAGAAAATCACCCTCCAAGGAAAGGAAAGACTTTCTACAATTAAAGTAACCCAGAAACAGAATAAATATGCTTAAAAAGCAGCAGTTCCACAACACCTGATAACGACCAAATAGAGGGTGAAGGACTACCTATCCGGGATTTTCTAGAACTGAGGCATGGGACTAGATGGCCCCTAAAGTTCTTCTAATTAGGACTCTAAAATTCTTTGTAAGTTTTCGGGTTGTGATGACAGAAAATGCAAATAGGGACTGGCTTTTCCTAAAGAAAACAGCATTTTCAGGTTCCATTAGCATTTCATGGCCAACCATTGTACTCCACTCAAAAGGGACTCACAGTCTTGATTAACACAATGTTTTTCTCACTGGTTTTCTGCTTATCTTCCCCCCAGTTTTTTAAAGGAGTAATACCTTGAGAACAGCTCTTGGAAGCAGAAGAGTAAGCATGCTCTGCACAAAATGAAGGTGCTGTCCACATGTGAGTCACCACCTCCTCAGATTTGATGGGAATCTCTTCATCACAAAAAAGATTGGGTTCAAGACTACTAGAGGACTTCACACTGGCTGTGTCCTGAAGAAGAAACAAAGAGAAGTATTCAGAATTAGAGTCATTTAACTTATTTTATGACAAGGCCCAAAATGGAGGCTTTCAGGTTAAAGCTTCTAATATACTAAAAATATGAGATTAAAATTAAATATCTGATGTTAAACAGGATAGAAAATGTCCACTGGGGAGAAAAACTGTAATTGTGGCAGGCCAGGTTTCCATTAGCAACCAGAACAGTTTCTACTAACACATTACTATAATTCTAATTAATGTGTAAGTCAAACAGTAAAGAAATGGAGAAACTATGGCCTTCATACAAGGGCTGAAATGTGAAAACAAACCCATTAAGATTTTCACCTGGGTTTTCTCAGACCCTAAAGCCTGATAAGATTATGAAGGCATTCTCACACACACCTTGTACCAGGGCCCACTGAAGATTAAGAAATTTTTCCAAGTCTCTAGAGAAAGTCTTCCAGACCGGACCCTACCCTAGATACAGTCTGAATGAAAGATCCTCGCTTGTAGGTGCGCCTCCCACACACAGACACAGAGTTTAGAATGAATACAAATATTGAAAAAAACTTGTAACTTAGTTGGTCTGGTGAGTTACTCCATAACCAGTTGCAGAAATAAACTCCGTTCTTTCTCAGTCAGTCTGCATCTTCTTATTGGACTGAGAGAAAAAAGCAGCTAGACCTTGTTCTATCCAGGAACATAATGACTACAGATTCAAGCCAAAAGACAGTATTAAGGTCAAAAACAATCCACAGAGATAACAAACCTACAAAAAAATTACTATTGCTCTCTACATTCCTCCTCTCTGGGCAGGGCATCTCTGAAAAAAAGGCAGCAGTCCCAGTCAGGGACTTCTAGATAAAATCCCCATCTCCCTGGGACAAAGCACCTGGGGGAAGGGGCAGCTGTGGATGCAGCTTCAGCAGACTTAAACTTCCCTGCCTGACGGCTCTGAAGAGAGCAGCAGATCTCCCAGCACAGCACTCAAGCTCTGATAAGGAACAGACTGCCTCCTCAAGAGGGTCCCTGGCCCCCATGCATCCTGACTGGGAGACACCTCCCAGCAGGGGTCAACAGACACGTCATATAGGAGAGCTCTGGCTGGCATCTGGCCGGTACCCCTCTGGGACAAAGCTTCCAGAGGAAGGAACAAGCAGCAGTCTCTGCTGTTCTGCAGCCTCTTCTGGTGATACCGAGGCAAACAGGGTCTGGAGTGGACGTCCACCAAACTCCAGCAGACCTGCAGCAGAGGGGCCTGACTATTTGAAGGAAAACTAACAAACAGAAAGAAACAGTATCAACATCAACAAACAGGACGTCCACTCAGAGACCCTACCCGAAAGTCACCAAAATCAAAGACCAAAGGTGGATAAATCCACGCAGATGGGGAGAAACTACCACAAAAAGGCTGAAAATTCCAAAAACCAGAACACCTCTTCTCCTCCAAAGGATCAAATCTCCTCACCAACAAAGGAACAAAACTGGACGGTGAATGAGTTTGACGAACTGACAGAAGTAGGCCTCCGAAGGTGGGTAATAACAAACTCCTCCGAGCTAAAGGAGCATGTTCTAACCAATGCAAGGAAGCTAAGAACCTTGAGAAAAGGTTAGAGGAATTGTTAACTAGAATAACCAGTTTAGAGAACATAAATGACACGATGGAGCTGAAAAACACAGCACGAGAACTTCGTGAAACATACACAAGAATCAACAGCGGAATCGATCACGTGGAAGACAGGATATCAGAGATTGAAGATCTACTCAATGAAATAAAGTAAGAAGACAAGATTAAAGAAAAAACAGTGAAAAGAAACAAACAAAGCCTCCAAGAAAGATGGGAATATGTGAAAACACCAAATCTACATTTGATTGGTGCACCTGAAAGAGACAGGGAGAACGGAACCAAGTTGGAAAACGCTCTTCAGGATATTATCCAGGAGAACTTCCCCAACCTAGCAAGGCAGGCCAACATTCAAATTCAGGAAATACAGAGACCACCACAAAGAAACTCCTCAAAGAGAGCAAACCCAAGACATGTAACTGTCAGATTCAACAATGTTGAAATGAAGGAAAAAATGTTTAGGGCAGCCAGAGAGAAAGGTCGAGTTACCCACAAAGGCAAGCCCATTAGACTAACAGCAGATCTCTCCGTAGAAACGCTACAAGCCAGAAGAGAGTGGGGCCAATATTCAACATTCTTAAAGAAAAGAATTTTCAATCCAGAATTTCATATCCAACCAAACTAAGCTTCATAAGTGAAGGAGAAATAAAATCCTTTACAGACAAGCAAGTGCTGAGAGATTTTGTCACCACCATGCCTGCCTTTCAAGAGCTCCTGAAGGAAGCACTAAACATGGAAAGGAACAACCGGTACCAGCCACTGAGAAAAACATACCAAATTGTAAAGACCATCGACGCTATGAAGAAACTGCATCCACTAACGGGCAAAATAACCAACTAGCATCATAATGACAGGATCAAATTCACACAAAACAATATTAACCTTAAATGTAAATGGGCTAAATGCCCCAATTAAAAGGCACAGACTAGCAAATTGGATAGAGTCAAGACCCATCAGTGTGCTGTATTCAGGAGACCCATCTCACTTGCAAAGACGCACACAGGCTCAAAATAAAGGGATGGAGGAAGATCTACCAAGCAAATAGAAAGCAAAAAAAAGCAGGGATTGCAGTCCTAGTCTCTGATAAAACAGACTTTAAACCAACAGAGATCAAAAGAGACAAAGAAGGGCATTACATAACGGTAAAGGGAGCAATGTAACAAGAAGAGCTAACTATTTTAAATGTATATGCACCCAATACAGGAGCACCCAGCTTCATAAAGTAAGTCCTTAGAGACCTACAAAGACACTTAGACTCCTACACAATAATAATAGTGGGAGACTTTAACACCCCATTGTCAATATTACACATATCAATGAGACAGAAAATTAACAGAGATATCCAGGACTTCAACTCAGCTCTGGACCAAGCAGACCTAACAGACAGCTACAGAACTCTCCACCCCAAACCAACAGAATATACATTCTTCTCAGCAGCACATTACACTTATTCTAAAACTGACCACATAATTAGAAGTAAAACACCCCTCAGAAAATGCAAAAGAACAGAAATAATAACAAACCGTCTCTCAGACCACAGTGCAATCAAAGTAGAACTCAGGATTAAGAAACTCACTCAAAACCTCACAATTACATTGGAAAGTTAACAACCTGCTCCTGAATGACTACTGGGTAAATAATGAAATGAAGGCAGAAATAAAGACGTTCTTTGAAACCAATGAAAACAAAGACACAACATACCAGAATCTCTGGGACACATTTAAAGCAGTGTGTAGAGGGGAATTTATAGCACTAAATGTCCACAAGAGAAAACAGGAAAGATCTAAAATTGACATCCTAACATCACAATTAAAAGAACTACAGAAGCAAGAGCAAACAAATTCAAAAGCTAGCAGAAGACAAGAAATAACTAAGATCAGAGCAGAACTGAAGGAGATAGAGACATGAAAAACCCTTAAAAAACATCAATGAATCCAGGAGCTGGTTTTTTGAAAAGATCAACAAAATAGACCGCTAGCAAGACTAATAAAGAAAGGAGAGAAGAATCAAATAGACGCAATAAAAAATGATAAAGGGGATATCACCATCAATCCCGCAGAAATACAAACTACCATCAGAGAATACTATAAACACCTCTACACAAATAAACTAGAAAATCTAGAAGAAACAGATAAATTCCCGGACACATACAGCCTCCCAAGACTAACCAGGAAGAAGCCGAATCATTGAACAGACCAATCAAGTTCTGAAATTGAGGCAATAATTAATAGACTACCAACCAGAAGAAGTCCAGGACCAGACAGATTCACAGCTGAATTCTACCAGAGGTACAAAGAGGAGCTGGTACCATTCCTTCTGAAACTATTCCAAACAACAGAAAAAGAAGGAATCCTCCCTAACTCATTTTATGAGGCAGCATCATCCTGATAACAAAACCTGGCAGAGACACAACAAAAAAAGAGAATTCCAGGCCAATATCCCTCATGAACATCGATGTGAAAATCCTCAATAAAATACTGGCAAACTGAATCCAGCAGCACATCAAAAAGCTTATCCACCAATGATCAAGTCGGCCTCATCCCTAGGATGCAAGGCTGGTTCAACATACTCTAATAACAAACGTAATCCATCACATAAACAGAACCAATGACAAAAACCACATGATTATCTCACTAGATGCAGAAAAGGCCTTCAGCAAAATTCAACAGCCTGTCATGCTAAAAACTCTCAATAAACTAGGTAGTGATGGAATGTATCTCAAAATAATAAGAGCTATTTATAAACCCACAGCCAATGTCATACTTAATGGGCAAAAACTGGAAGCATTCCCTTTGAAAACCAGCACAAGACAAGGATGCCCTCTCTCACCACTCCTATTCAACATAGTATTGAAAGTTCTGGCCAGGGCAATCAGGCAGGAAAAAGAAATAAAGGGTATTCAAATAGGAACAGAGGAAGTCAAATCGTCTCTGTTTGCAGATGACATGATTGTATATTTAGAAAACCCCATCGTCTCAGCCCAAAATCTCCGTAAGCTGATAAGCAACTTCCGCAACATCTCAGGATACAAAATCAATGTGCAAAATCACAAGCATTCTTATACACCAACAATAGACAAACAGAGAGTCAAATCATGCGTGAACTCCCATTCACAATTGCTACAAAGAGAATAAAATACCTAGGAATACAACTTACAAGGGATGTGAAGGACTTCTTCAAGGAGAACTACAAACCACTGCTTAAGGAAATGAGAGAACACAAACAAATGGAAAAACATTCCATGCTCATGGATAGGAAGAATCAATATTGTGAAAATGGCCATACTGCCCAAAGTAGTTTACAGATTCAATGCTATCCCTATCAAGCTACCATTGACTGTCTTCACAGAACTGGAAAAAACTACTTTAAATTTCATATGGAACCAAAAAAGAGCCCGCATAACCAAGGCAATCCTAAACAAAAAGAACAAGGCTGGAGGCATCACGCTACCTAACTTCAAACTATACTACAAGGCTGCAGTAACAAAAACAGCATGGTACTGGTACCAAAACAGATATATAGACCAATAGAACAGAACAGAGGCCTCAGAAATACCACCACACATCTACAACCATCTGATCTTTGACAAACCTGACAAAAACAAGAAATGGGGAAGGATTCCCTATTTAATAAATGGTGTTGGGAAAACTGGCTAGCCATATGCAGAAAGTTGAAACTGGATCCCTTCCTTATACCTTATGCAAAAATTAACTCAAGATAGATTAAAGACTGAAAGGTAAGACCTAAAACCATAAAAACCCTAGAAGAAAACCTAGGCAACACCATTCAGGACATAGGCATGGGCAAAGACTTCATGACTAAAACACCAAAAGCAATGGCAACAAAAGCCAAAATAGTCAAATCAGATCTAATTAAACTAAAGAGTTTCTGCACAGCAAAAGAAACTATCAGCAGAGTGAACAGGCAACCTACAGAATGGGAGAAAAATTTTGCAATCTATCCATCTGACAAAGGGCTAATATCCAGAATCTACAAAGAACTTAAACAAATTTACAAGAAAAAAACAACCCCATCAAAAAGTGGGCAAAGGATATGAACAGGCACTTCTCAAAAGAAGACATTTATGCAGTCAACAAACATACGAAAAAATGCTCATCATCACTGGTCACTAGAGAATTGCAAATCAAAACCACAATGAGATACCATCTCACACCAGTTAAAATGGCGATCATTAAAAAGTCAGGAAACAACAGATGCTGGAGAGGATGTGGAGAAACAGGAACACTTTTACACTGTTGGTGGGAGTGTAAATTGGTTCAACCATTGTGGAAGACAGTGTGGCAATTCCTCAAGGATCTAGAACTAGAATTACCATTTGACCCAACAATCCCATTACTGGATATATACCCAAAGGATTATAAATCATTCTACTATAAAGACACATGCACACATATGTTTACTACAGCACTGTTCACAATAGCAAAGACTTGGAACCAACCCAAATGCCCATCAATGACAGAATGGATAAAGAAAATGTGGCACATATATACCATGGAATACTATGTAGCCATAAAAAAGGATGAGTTCATGTCCTGTGCAGAGACATAAAGCTGGAAACCATCATTCTCAGCAAATTAACACAAGAACAGAAAACCTAACACTGCATGTTCTCACTCATAAGTGGGGGCTGAACAACAAGAACATATGGACACAGGGAGGGGAACATCACACACCAGGGCCTGTCCGGGGGTGGAGGGCTAGGGGAGGCATAGCATTAGGAGAAATACCTAATGTAGATGACGGGTTGGTGGGTGCAGGGAACCACCACGGCACATGTATACCTATGAAACAAACCTGTATGTTCTGCACATGTACCCCAGAACTTAAAGTAAAATAAAAAACAATTATGGTTAAGTAGTCCACCTTCTATAGTCTACAACCTATAATAACTCCTATACCAACAAGCTAAGGAGGGGAAGACAAATTTAGATGTGACAGCTTAACGACACAAACCATTTAATCCTCTCTAGAGGTTTTCAAACCTAGAATCTTACCAACTGCTCTTACTTAATATAAGTATATGTCTGACTGACAATATACAGATTACAGTAAGTCTTCATGTAACGTCATCAGTAGGTTCTTGGAAACTGACTTTATGCAAAAGGAATAAAGTTGTTTTCATTTCATTATAACAGTGATGAGGGGAAAAAATAAGTTCAGCTTGCAGATCAGCTTGGTACTGCTCATTAATCTCACTGTTGCACTTAAAGTCCTTGGAATGTTAAGTGAGCTCTGATTAGGTCTCAGATCATTCTCCTTGAAATCCGTATCCACAAGCTCACCCACACAGACACAATCCCAAAAGATGCAGGACAGACTTTGCTTCATTAAATATGTAACTTGTAAGCAATGATTTTCTGGATGGTAACTAAGATAAAATGACTGATCTTATTTTACTAAATAATTACCTACTCCTCTTCCTAAACCAAGAGGGGGCTCCTCCTCAAGCAAGAATACTATGTTCAAAGTATTTTATGTATGAATTTATGGTCACAACAGAGAACATCAAACAAAGAAAAAACCACCGGCCAAATGCAAATAAACTGGCAAATAAAAGTTTTATTATACAATTATCACTTGCTCTGTGGGAAAATGCTCAACAGTACAGGCTTTTTTTTTTTTCATTCAAAGATATCAACATCAAAGTAAACTGGCAGGGTACAGCTCCGTGGCAGAGCATCTGACGGCCAAGTAAACTGGAACTTGAATCACCGCACGTCCTGCCACCGTTCTTCTCTTCTCAGCTGTCAAATACATTACTAACACTAGAAAATCCATCATCTTACTTTTCTACCCTGCCAATACCTACTACCAAACAGACAGTAAGCTAAGATTCTCATATAATTTCCTCCAAAAAAAGATGACTCCATCCAACCGTATCAAACTGCAGTTGTGATCCCTAGTCCTGAAAATCATCAATACTTGTGATGTTTTCATAGGTTACCAGTCTGCTTTCAAGCAAAGCCCATCATGTTATGCAAATCTAGAGGAGAGGCTGATACTTAATGTGCTAGAAAGCAACCACCAAAAATATCAAAGGCCGCTAAGCAGGGTGAACAGGTGATGATTCCAGGATTCAAGGAAAAGGCGAATTATATTTGGCATGGGTTGTGTTCCTTTTCAGCTGCTCCTAGTCACCCTATATACAACTTTGTAAACAAAGATAGTCATTAACTTCCGGATAACGTGCTTAAGAAGATTATCTGAATAGGCTAATTCAAGTTTCAACTGTTCTCAAGTCTTTAAGTCACATAACTGAAAATTCCTAAGTCACCTGGATCCATTTTTATCTTGAGAAAAAACATTTCCCAGTGGAAGAATCTACGAGCGTCTATGATGGATGGTTTTAATTTTACACCCTAGCAGTTTTAACGCTGATGAGGTTAATGAGCAGTACCAAGCTGATCTGCAAGCTGAAAAGACAAAAGACAGCGAAGGGGTAGGGACAGAATCTCCCTTGTTCTTAGGAAGCAGCCTTTTGTATCAGAGTAGGAATTCCCAGGTTACAAGAATAGATTCTAAACAAAGCAACTAAGAATCATGTAAAACAAACTAATGGATTGACTGTAATCTGGCAGGGTCTCTGACTAATCACGTTGTTATTACTAGGTTAAAAAGCAAAGGACTTGCACCTGACAAAACGGGTGAACGAAAAGCCAACTGGATCCAACACAAAACAAACTTGCCAAAACCTTCTCTTCACCACCAGTAAGGTGTCATTACCAAAACAGTCACATTGATGGTAAATAATTTGTTGTATCTGCAACTGGAACTCGGCAAATTCTAACCTGGGCCTAAGTATTATATTACCCATCTCGGAATATTACTTTCTATCTGGCACCATCCAGACAAGAAAGCAGAGCAAAAGACTCATAGCCTAGCTGGAATGGAATTTTTTTTTTTTTTTTTTGAGGCAAGGTTTTGTTGCGCTACCCAGGCTGGAGGGCAGTGGTACAATCACAGCTCACTGCAGCCTTGACCTCCTAGGATCAAAGCAATCCTCCCACTTCAGCCTCCCAAGTAGCTGGGACTACAGGTGCATGCTACCACACCCAACTAACTTTTGTATTTTTTTGTAGAGATGGGGGGGTCTCGCTATGTTGCACAGGCTGGTCTCAAACTCCTGGACTCAAGTGATCCGCCCACCTCAGTCTCCCCTAAAGTGTCAAGTTTATAGGCATGAGCCACCACACCAAGCCTAGAATGGAATTCTTAAAACTTAACTGTATACAGACTTTAACTCAAAGAAAAAAATGTGAAAAACTGAAATTGGCCATGAAAGCTTTACATAATTTAATGCATTGTTTTTCTAGTTCCTCTAAGCCATAAGGGACTATAAGATGAGAAAAACATATACAGATTTTTAAATTCTATTTTTTAAAAATTGTTTCAGGTCTGGCGCGGTGGCTCACACCTGTAATCCCAGCACTTTGGGAGGCCGAGGCAGGCGGATCACTTCAGGTCAGGAGTTCAAGACCAGCCTGGCTAACATGATGAAACCCCATCTCTACTAAAAATACAAAAATTAGCCAGGCATGGTGGTGGGCACCTGTAATCCCAGCAACTTGGGAGGCTGAGGCACAAGAATTACTTAAACCCAGAAGGCAGAGGTTGCAGTGAACAGAGATCACGCCACTGCATTCCAGCCCGGCCGACAGAGGGAGACTCCATCTCAAAAAAAAAAAAAAGTATTTCAGCAACCTGTAATTTTTTGAGTTTTGCAAAAATGCTATGACTAAAACCTCAGAAGAGATAAATGACTAGTTTTCTCTTTCACTTTCAGGCCTCAAACATCACTGTTCAATAGCTTTTTTTTTTTTTTTAAACAAACCCAATGATCAGGTATGTACCCACACAGCCTGTCCGTGTAACTACCTTCATGTCGTAACCATACGTCTCTCGAATGTCTTCATCAGAGTCTGTTTCTTCGTCATCATAGTCCATTGTTTGTCGAGGAGAAGATGACACACTGCTCACCACCCGATTAAAAGCAGACTGCTGGAAACTAGGTAAGTGTCCCTAAACAACAAAGAATTCCAAGATGAACAGCAAGACATGAGAGACCAGCAGGGGAATTAATGTGTGCCTAAGATCACCAAAATGTAATGAATAAGCAAAGTGGCTAACAGAGTTCTTCAACAGTTAGTAGAAATCAAATTATTTGATGATGATGCCAAAGTGCACCTGAATGACATTCCCAGGAATAGTTCACTAAGTACGCATCCAAAAAAAAGTATTACAGTATATGTGGAATGAGAACGCAATGGATAATAGCTGACAAGTTACTGTTATTTTCCTAATCACCTGGTAAGACAGACTCGATTTACTATTTATACACTGACATATCCCATGAAATAGAAAAAGAATGTAAATCCTAAACTTGCCTGTAAGTCTGGATTGGCAGCTGCTTTTTGGAGTTCCGCACTGATGATCTTTTCAGTTTTTTCTCGAGCTGCCTGTTCCACCATACGCTGGCTCAACACAGACAGTTTGGCCAGGGCAGAGGAGAGTTCATCTGTGGCTAGAGCCTGCCGTGCTCTATCTTGCCAACTCATAGCACGTTCTGTCAAACACTGCAGGGCCTCTCCTTCAGGCAACCGTACGGGCAACTTCTGAAGGGACACCAGGAGTGACAGAATAGTCTCCAGCCTGGGCCTTCGAGACCGCATACAAAGAGGGCAAAGGAATTTTACTTCTTTAGCTTGCCAGTTGGATCCTTTCTTTTGGGAACTTGATTTAGGAAGAGGAACACAGCTGTTATGGAACCAGTCCTTGCAGAGCTCACACTGTAGCATAAACCCACTGGCTGTCTTGCGGCAAATGCAAAATTTTACTTCTTCTATGCGGTCCACCATTGTCATCTTGGCTAGGTTGGCTGCTCTGAGAGAATGCATGGCTTCAATCTCTTTTTGCTCCCGTTCTTTGAAAACTGCTACCTGTACAAGAAACACATTTAATTGAAGAGTCACTGCAATATACCCCCAAAATACCAAATTCTCAAGGCCATGGGATCTTTCTCCAAGCTATCAGTTATAAACAGTTTCCTAAAATTTGGGGCCCCTGGCAGTTTCCATGCAAACATTCCTCATCTGTGAAACGGGCAAAGTGCTATCACATTTGATCAAGTACATCAGTGCAGTACTTTGGCCTCTTTTGGAGGGCGCAGTACGAAGATGGCATGCCTTGAAATCAAGCAACCTGGGTACAAAGCCTGGCTCTTGTACTTTCAGACTGTTAATATGGGCACAAGTTTCCGAACCTCCATTTTCTGAAAAATGAGGATACTACCAACCGTTATTTTGCTGTTTCACAGATTAAATAAGGTAACATATGAAAGTGCTTAACCTGGTACCTTGCACAAGAAAAACACTCAATGAAGTATTAGTTTCCCATCCCCTCGTAATTCATTCCCTGGGGCAAGTCCTATGCACATTAATTTATTTCTCTCTAGAAGGCCTCTTCATGCATAAGTAGAGTAACAAAACTTGATCAATTGTAACAACAGAGTTTTATGAAACTCAATTTAACAAAGTAAATAAAGGCAAACAAATTTAATTATCAATACTGTCGGTGCATTTTCTTCTTAAACTACTGGCAGCTTTGAAACAATTTTGAAATAATTTCCAGTCCTACTTGTCTAGCAAGATTGACTTGTTAGGCAGGCTCTCTAATCAGAAATCATTTTCACTGGCTTCAAAACAGAATCATTTGTAGGCAGAAAGAGCTGTATCATATGCAATTCCCTACTTTTATTGCCCAGATTCGTATTTATTTTCTATTTCCTCAGGATCCTAGTAATCTTAACACATTCCTCCTATCCTCCAAAAAAGCATAATTCTCATCAACTACAAATATTTTAACACTCATTAAGAGATGGAAATCTGTAGCCTGGTATAATTCTTTTAAAAAACACATAGTAATAAGAGTCATAAAATGTTTATATTAAATTCTAACCCAGTAATTACATTCCTAAGAGTCAAGTCTAGGAAATTTAAAAGAAGGAAAAGGCTATACAAAGAAGTTCATTTTATTACTTACAATAAGAAACTTAGTAACAGGCAAAACGCTCAAAATTAGAAAACTACAGCAGGTCCTCAAATGACATCTTTATGTTCAGTGTAATTTCATTATAACATTGATGAGAAAAAATCAATTCCTGGCCAATGCCACTGTCACTAATTTACCAAAAATTGGATAATTATCTAGTTTTTATTACTCTTTCTTAAACGTATGTTTAGCTCGAATTTTCTCAGTGTTTAATATCAGAAGTGTTTGGGGTCTTTATTTTAGAAGTCTGATGATGTTTTTGTGACCAGAAATATGCTGGTTAAAAAATAAGGAACTTAACTCTTGTTTGTATCAGCCTGTAGTAAAACTGGGTTCATTATACATTGCTTCACTTAGAGTTGCAGTGCAAGAAGCTATTGATAATGTTAAGTGAGGACTTACTGTACTCAGCAGACTATGGACAACTTGATGGAACAGTAGACGACTATTAAAACAACAATAAAGGGCAGAGGTATGGAACAGACAATTTTGGGAAAAGAGCAGAATACTAAACTTTTTGTATATCTTGATTATAAATATTTACTTTTAATGTGAAATATGTATAATCGTAAAGCCAAAGTATATGAAAATAAAAAGTTAAAAACATAAAAACTGTGAGTCTGCTAATATCTTTACAGAATTGTGTATTCACCAAGCCAACTCAAGACGCTCGGTCATGTCTTACCACCACGGCTGTATCTCTGGTTTCCTCCAATCCCTCCTCCAGATCACTTAGAGGCTCGAGGTCCAGATCCTTTTCTTTTTCTTTTTCTATCAGTTCTTTTACTTTTTTCCTCCTATTTTTGCCACTCCCATATACACCAATGTCAGTCCGGGGGCTCAGCACCTACAAAAATAAAACCACCATTATAAACTCTGGTTTTTAAAAAATTTTAGAAGTGAAAATAATAAAGGAACCATTTATTGACCATTCAACCGTGTCCGAGGCACTTTCTTAAGGACTTTATACACATGATCTAATTCATTCCTCACAACAACCCTATGTAGTAGGTATTAGTATCTACATTTTATAAACAAGAGAAACTGAGGCTTAGAAAGCAAATAACTTGCCCAAGGACACAGGGTTAGCAATTAAGGAGTCTATTCTCAAACCTGAAAGGACCTTATTCCAAAGTCTTTGCTCTTAACTACTACGTTCAACTTCTCAAGATCAAAGGGACAATAAGTATACAAATTTGTGCTTCGGAGAAAAAAGATCATTCAACGATAGGCTGGACGTGGTGGTTCACACTTGTAATCCTAGCACTTTGGGAGACTGAGGAGGGCGGATCACTTGAGCTCAAAGGAGTTCGAGACCAGCCCAGGCAACATGACGAAACATCATCTCCACCAAAAATACAAAAAATTAGCCAGGCATGGTGGTGCATGCCTGTAGTCCCAGACACTTGGGAGGGTGAGGTGAAAGGATCACTTGAGCCCAGGAGGCGACAGCTGCAGTGGGCTGAGATCACCCACTGCACTCCAGTCTGGGCAACAGGGCAAGACTCTGTCTCAAAAAAACAAAACAAAACAAAACAAGACTATTTCAATGACTAGAGTCCAATAACAAGCCAAGGCCGACTGCTTTTTCTAGGGACAGCACAAGATTAACGGGAAATGAATCTGCCCAAGGCTCCAGATTTCAAGTCAACATCTGATATCACCCAGTAAATCACCCGTATCTTGTTAATCGAATACGCACCATCTGATATCACCCAGTAAGAATCACTTGTCAACATCTGATACCACCCAGTAAGAATCACTTGTCAACATCTGATACCACCCAGTAAGAATCACTTGTATAACGGTAATCGAATGCTCACCATCTGATATCACCCAGTAAGAATCACTTGTATAACGGTAATCAGATAAACTGAAAACTATCACCCAGTAAGAATCACTCATATAATGGTAATCGGATACTCACCATCTGATATTACCTAGTAAGAATCACTTATTATAACGGTAATCAGATAAACTGAAAACTATCACCCAGTAAGAATCCTTTCATTATAACGGTAATCAGATAAACTGAAAACTATCGCAGTAAGAATCACTGGTATAGCGGTAATCAGATAAACTGAAAACCATCACCCAGTAAGAATCACTGGTATAGCATTAATCAGATAAACTGAAAACCATCACCCAGTAAGAATCACTTGTATAACGGTAATCAGATAAACTGAAAACCATCACCCAGTAAGAATCACTTTCATTATACTTGTTAATCAGATAAACTGAAAACCATCACCCAGTAAGAATCCCTTTCATTATACTTGGTAATCAGATAAACTGAAAACCATCACCCAGTAAGAATCACTCATTATAACGGTAATCAGATAAACTGAAAACCATCACCCAGTAAGATCCACTTTCATTATACTTGTTAATCAGATAAACTGAAAACCATCACCCAGTAAGAATCACTTTCATTATAGCGGTAATCAGATAAACTGAAAACCATCACCCAGTAGAATCACTGCATTATACTTGTTAATCAGATAAACTGAAAACCATCACCCAGTAAGAATCCACTTTCATTATAACGGTAATCAGATAAACTGAAAACCATCACCCAGTAAGAATCACTCGTATAACGGTAATCAGATAAACTGAAAACCATCACCCAGTAAGAATCACTCATTATAGCGGTAATCAGATAAACTGGCATCACTTAGTAGGAATCACTCGATATAGCATTAATCAGATAAACTGAAAACCATCACCCAGTAAGAATCACTTGTATAACGGTATCAGATAAACTGAAAACCATCACCCAGTAAGAATCACGCGTGTAGCGGTAATCAGATAAACTGAAAACTACCACCCAGTAAGAATCCCACTTATTATGTGACAATCGAATAAACTAAAACTACCACCAGTAAGAATCACTTGATATGCTTGGTAATCGAATAAACTGAAAACCATCGCGAGTAAGAATCACTTGTGTGCGGTAATCAGATAAACTGAAAATAATCACCCAGTAAGAATCACTTGTCAATAGCGGTAATCAGATAAACTGAAAACCATCACCAGTAAAGATCACTTATTATGTGAGTAATCAGATAAACTGAAAACTATCACCCAGTAAGAATCACTCGTATAATGGTAATCAGATACTCACCATCTGATATTACCTAGTAAGAATCACTTGTATAACGGTAATCAGATAAACTGAAAACTATCACCCAGTAAGAATCACTTGTATATGTTAATCAGATAAACTGAAAACTATCACCCAGTAAGAATCACTTGTATAACGGTAATCAGATAAACTGAAAACTATCACCCAGTAAGAATCACTTGTATAACGGTAATCAGATAAACTGAAAACTATCACCCAGTAAGAATCACTTGTATATACTTGATAATCAGATAAACTGAAAACTATCACCCAGTAAGAATCACTTGTATAGGTAATCAGATAAACTGAAAGTGACCCTCACAATACTATTATACTTAAATCACCAGTGGCTTATGAGAGTGCAAGTTCATGAGAGTGCTTGAGTTCAAGTACCTGTAACAATGTATGGCTGAAATTCTTCTTAAGAAAGGTCGCCCAGTCCGTTCTCTCATGCCGATGCTGCTGCCACCTGAGATTTTGCGGCAGTGCTTCAAGCCGCCACAGGGATAGGGCGTCCTTTGCATGAACAAACTCTCGAGCTGTTAAATAAGTAGTTGCTGCCACTCTGAAAAACCAAAGTCGATTCTCACAATTTGAGTTCTCTCATAGGGTCTGGCAATATACCGTTGAAAGACCTTACAAAGTTCTAGGTGTTAGTTCTTTTATTAAATACTATTCTTTGCATGGAATTCCAGCTCTTGAATTCATATAACTTCCAATGTCCTATTTTTAAAAGTTTGTGTAAAATTATTTTTTTAATGAACATGTCATCAATGATTTTATTTACTAATTAATGAGAGAACCAGCAGACATAAACCAGTTCAAGGACAATCTAAAGCACAGACATATACAAATGCAGTTAGCAGGCCAGGCGTGGTGGCTCACACCTGTAATCTCAGCACTTTGGGAGGCTGAGACAGGCAGATCACTTGAGGTCAGGAGCTGAGACCAGCCTGGCCAACATGGTGAAACCCTGTCTCTACTAAAAATACAAAAATTAGCCAGGTGTGGTGGTGCATGCCTGTAATCCCAGCTACTCAGAGGTTGAGGCAAGAGAATTGCTTGAACACAGGAGGCAGGGGTTGCTGTGAGCTGAGATCTTGTCACTGCACTCCAGCCTGGGCAACCCAGTGAGATTCTGTCTCAAAAATAGGTAAATAAATAAATAAACAAGGAATCAAGCATTTACTAATAGATAGAAATATATGCTTAATATAGAGGAAAACTGAATCATCTTTTTCTGCAATGTGAAAATCAACTATACCATTCCATACAAAGTTCACTGCCTTTCTATGGACATACCTCATTGCATTGCTATCCTTTTCTTTCTAAACTTGACAGGTGTAAATAGGCTGGCCAAACAAAATCTAAGGCACACACCCTTAGAATCAGATAATCCTGGAGAGTTCACTAGACAACATCCAATATTCCACTGAAAAGATACCTAGATATCTTTTTGCCAATTTCAAAGTCTTTCACAATTTTTCCAACAACTAAAAGCAGTATTTCAATTCTGGTAACCACCTCCATTTTAAGTTACACAAACAGAAATAAGAATAAATATTTTCCTTCCAAGTTCACAATGTTTCAACTTTCCATGTAATGAAATCATTATTGTTTTACAGAACATCTATACTGTATTCAGTATAAGGATATTCCCCAAATATCCAGCAGATACATTTGCCTATAAACTCATTTTGAAAGATACACTGAACCATGGAGAAAATAAATTAGGCAAGAAGCCTATGACTTTTTGGCTGAGTGCAGTGTGCTCATGCCTGTAATCCCAGCACTTTGGGAGGCTGAGGCACGTGGACCACTTGAGGCCAGGAGTTCGGGCCAACCTGGTCAACATGGCAAAACATTCAATCTCTACAAAAATACAAAATATAGTTACAGTGTTGCATATAATCCAGCCACATAAACTGGCAAAATACTTTGGACAAGAGGAAAATTGTTGTGCTAAAATCCATCGGCATGACAGTTCATCTCAAAATATTATATTTGGGACAAGTGATGCTTGAATCTAACATTAAATATTACAAATAAACCACAATATGGTATGATTGAATCATTTAAGTGAAATGAATATTCTATCAAAGTTGGAAATTTTGCTTTATTTTTCTAGTGCCCAAATACGCATTTGACTGAGTGAACTTTCTTCTGCAAAGCCAGACACGAGCTGCTCCCAGGCCATGCAGCCTAAAGAAAAGTCTGCCAAATAACAAAACCTGTCCATTTACTTAGAGCCACAAGTCAGTATTCCCACTGAAGGGAGAGCCTGGTAGAGAGACAGCCCTTTGAAGTACAGAGGAAACACATGACAGCTACCTACACTTGTTGACTTAGTCCTTCAATTATAAATAAAACAGCCAATTAAAGATTCTCAGACATCTGAAGACAACAACTACTGCCTGAGCCAGGTCAAAGACTCACCAAACATAGAAGCTGTCCGGATAAAAACAGAAATAATTCAAAACGAAAGCGAAACACTGGCAGCTAAGCTTGGGTCCCAGAAAAACTCAACAGAAAAGAAAGTAAAAGAGAAGTCATTAGAACTTGACACCCAGGCCAGGAACGGTGGCTCACACCTGTAATCCCAGCACTTTGGAAGGCCAAGGCAGGCGGATCACCTGAGGTCAGGAGCTCAAGACCAATCTGGCCAACATGGTGAAACCCCATTTCTACTAAAAATACAAAAATTAGCTGGAGCCTGGTGGCGCGTGCCTGTAGTCCCAGCTACTTGACTGGGGCAGGAGGATTGCTCGAACCCAGGAGGCAGAGTTTACAGTGAGCAAGATCACACCACCACCGCCTCCAGCCTGAGCGACACAACAAGACTCTGTCTCAAAAAGCAAAATAGAACTTGACACCCAGAATATGTTCCTTTTGGGGCAGCAGTTTAGTGGGGAAGTTGGTTTTCTTTTTAGTACAGTTCTATAATTAGAGTGTTTATATACTTAACACTGTTAAGTGCTGTAACGGTTTTATGATTCAAAGTATACTTTTTCTCTGTCTAGCACTTACCTCATTCTACTTTAGAAATTACAGATGTGTAAAATATGTCTCTCCAACTAGAAAATATGTATTTGGAAGACTCTAGTTTTTTTTTTTTTTTTTTTTTTAGACGGAGTCTTGCTCTGTCGCCCAGGCTGGAGTGCAGTGAAAACCGGATCTCAGCTTCGCTGCAAGCTCCGCCTCCCGGGTTTTCGCCATTCTCCTGCCTCAGCCTCCCGAGTAGTTGGGACTGGCCGCCCGCCACCTCGCCCGGCTAGATTTTTGTATTTTTGAATAGAAGCAGGTTTCCACCGTGTTAGCCAGGATGGTCTCGATCTCCTGACCTCGTGATCCTCGTCTCAGCCTCCCAAAGTGCTGCGGGATTACAGGCTTGACCACCGCGCCCGGCGAAGACGGAGTCTCGCTCTGTAGCCCAGGCTGGAGTGCAGTGGCCGGATCTCAGCTCACTGCAAGCTCCGCCTCCCAGGTTTACGCCATTCTCCTGCCTCAGCCTCCCGAGTAGTTGGGACTACAGGCACCCGCCACCTCGCCCGGCTAGTTTTTTGTATTTTTTAGTAGAGACGGGGTTTCACCGTGTTAGCCAGGATGGTCTCGATCTCCTGACCTCGTGATCCCCCCGTCTCGGCCTCCCAAAGTGCTGGGATTACAGGCTTGAGCCACCGCGCCCGGCCGGAAGACTCTAGTTTTATACCCTATTTTATACTGTAAGTCCTATTTTTACACCCTTCCCTTACATGCCTGCTCCCAAATACCTAGAATAGTAGCAAGAGTGCTGTGGTGCTCAGTACACGTTAGTTTCATTTTCTTTTTCTGCCTCTAATTTTAAAAGTAATTCATTGTGGTGCTCAGTAAATGTTAATTTCATTTTCTTTTTCTGCCTCTAATTTTAAAAGTAATTCATACACATGGAAAAAAATTTGAAGAATACAGTAGGTAACAAATTCCCTATTGCTAAAGAGTTAAATAAGTAATTCCACCATCTTTCATAGCAGGGGGTCAATAAAAAGCAATATTTAAGTAGGTAATAATTATTCTAAATTATAAAATCAGACAAAAGAGTAAGTGAACTGTACCAGAATTATTTTATAGATGCTCCTCAACTTACGACAGGGTTATGTCCCCATCGTAAGTTGAAAATGCATTTAATAAAATTACCATACCAAACACAGCTTAGCCTACCCTACCTTAAAGGTGCTCAGAACCCTTACATCGGCATGACTGACTGGGAGCTGTGGCTCAATGCTGCTGCCCAGCATCGTGAGAGAGTGTCACACCACACATTGCTAGCCTGGCGAAAGTTCAAAATTCAAAATTCGAAACACACTTTCTACTCAATGCATATCACTTTCGCGCCATCATAAAGTCAAAACATCACAAGTCGATCTAAGTTAGGGATCGTTTGAATTAAGATTATTCTATTCTAAAGAATTAATAGTTTAAAAGATTAATCCGTGAAACAGGCGTTACCTGATAGGTGGGATAATCCAAAAGCCTTCTTACCTGAATAGCTTCCACTTTAGCTGTCCATTCTCGAGCCTTTTGTAAGGCTTCTTTCAAGGACAACACATTGGGTAGAAAGGCTGGAATGTTCTTGGCTTCATTCACAATGCTTTCTAAACTTGCCACACTGTGCCGTGGTCTAAAAGAACAATAAAAACAGAGTAGGATGCATGAGAAATCAACATTTAAATAATATTTCAGAATGTTTAGATAACTTTCATTTACATGATTTCATTGAATTCTTACCACAATCCTATAAGGGAGGCAAAGCAGCTAGTATCTTTCTTTTCCATCTTATAGATAAAAAAATGTATAAACATAAGTTTACAATAAAATAAAACATAAATATTTTATGGATAAGAAAACTTTTTTTTTTTTTTTTTTTTTGAGACAGTCTCGCTCTGTCGCCCAGGCTGGAGTGCAGAGTGCAGTGGCCGGATCTCGGCTCACTGCAAGCTCCGCCTCCCAGGTTCCCGCCATTCTCCTGCCTCAGCCTCCCGAGTAGCTGGGACCACAGGTGCCGCCACCACGCCCGGCTAAGGATAAGAAAACTTTAACTCAAAGAGAAGTTATTTTCCCCAGTCATTTAGCGTAATAAATGACACATCTGAAATACTCATTCAGAATGAGGGTCAGATCCATGATCCTTTCACTATACTAGACTACCTCTATTCTACTTCTCTACAGTAACTGAAATTGTCAGAGATGCACATTTGATAGCAATGTAGAAAACAAGAGACTAGAAATCCATTAGTGTTGACAAGGTACATTTACTTAAACTACATTCATTAACATTAGTTACACAAAGATGAATAAAGCATAGACCTTATCCTCAACGAATCACAATACAAGGTAAGAATTATGCTTCTACTGGGAACTGAAACCAAATTACTATAAACTCGCTGTTATGGGAGGCAGTGATTAATTCTGCCCAGGAAAGCTGAGAAAGGCTTTGAAGTAGGCCTTAAATTAGTATGCTTCTGTCAAAACGAAAAGTTAAAGAAGTTAAGGAAACCAGGAATACAATGAACAAAGGCGTGGAAAAACACTTAAAAAGCAGTTCATAGTTCAGTTTGCAATTAGGGGCTGATGTGGAGAACTGGAGGCAGGGAATGGGTGGAAAAAGAGTGGGACAGGAAAAGGGAATTTGGCAGAAGAAAGATGCAGAGTCCTGAGAGCCATGGACTTCGTCGTGTAAAGCAATGGGAAGCTACTGAGGTGGAAATCGTTCATCACCCACGAATCCTACTATGTGTCAGGCGCTGTTCTAGGCACTGGAAATTGCTCATGAGCAAGAATGACAGTCCTTGCCTCATGAAACCTTTACTTATTGAGTCTCGCTGTCACCCAGGCTGAAGTGCAATGGCGCAATCTCAGCTCACTACAACCTGTGCCTCCTAGGTTCAAACAATTCTCATGCCTCAGCCTCCCAAGTAGCTGGGACTACAGGCATGTGCCACCTTGCCCAGCTAATTTTTTGTATTTTTGTAGAGACAGGGTTTCACCATGTTGGCCAGGCTGGTCTCGAACTTCTGGGCTCAAGCAATCCACCCTCCTCAGCCTCCCAAAATGCTGGGATTACAGATGTGAGCCACTGTGCCCAGCCTCATGAAGCTTTTTAATTTTATGAAGATTATTAATAAGGAGTTTATGATGCACTGTGAGAACTGTAATGATAAATGAAAGTAAAGGTGCTATTGGAATACATAGTAGGAGAACCTAATCGACCTGGTGGGTAAAGAAGACTTCCCAAAAGCGATGTCTAAGCTTTTTCATCCTTTCTGAATAAGGCTTAATCAGGAAAGCTGGGGCCAGGGGCAGGGTAGGGTTGGCAGCGGTATACCACAGGAGATGGGCTGAAAATAAGAGTGCTCTACAGGAGAATAAAATACACATGCACAAAGATGCAGAGAAAGAACGTAGATGCTTGAGGAACTGGGAAGAAAAATCACAATGTTTGGAACATAGGATACAAGAGGAAGAATGGCAAGAGATAAGACTAGATATATAATTAAGCAAGAGGCTAGATGACAGATGGCCTTACAAATCAGGTTAGAGAATTTGGACTTCATCCTGAGGGCAACAGAAAACTAGAGAAGGATTTAAGTAAGGGAGTGAAAGTTACACCTGTGTTTTAACAAAGTACTAGTGGCAGTATAGAGAATGAATTAGAGAGGGGTAAGGCCAGACAGAACCTGCTGCTGTGATCTAGGCTAGCTATGACAGCAGCCTGAGTGGAATGAGAGAAAAGGAATAATCCTACAAGATTCTTTTCAAAACAGCAGACAGAATGATATATCCAAAGTACTAAGACAAAATAACTGTCAACCAGTAATTTTACAGCTAATGCAAAAAAGTCCTTCAAGCATGAGGGTAAAAGGCTGGGCACCGTGGCTCACGCCTGGAAACCCAGCACTGCAGGAGGCCGGAGCAGGCGGACTGCTTGAGGTCAGGAGCTCAAGACAAGCCTGGCCAACATGGCCAAACCCCGTCTCTACAAAAAATTAAAAAATTAGCTGGGCATGGTGGGCATGCACCTATAATCCCAGCTACTCGGGAGGCTGAGGCATGAGAACAGATTGAGCCTTGGGCAGTGGAGGTTGCCATGAGCCAAAATGGCACCATTGCACACCCCAGCCTGGGCAACAAAGCAAGTCTCTGTCTCAAAAAAGAGGGTGGGGAGGGGGTTTGAAAAAGAATGAGTATAACATAAATCCATGTGCAGACTTAAAAAAAAAAAAAAGAATGAAAGTAAGAAGCACTGGGGAAATATAATCAGCACAACTGAGTTTGAGGATAAAGAAGAAGGGAGGAGTCAAAGCTAACTACCAAAGTACCTGCTTGTTCAAATGAGTGAAAGGTGGTATCATTTAAAGAATACAGAAACAGAGGAGGAGGATATGAGAAGACATTAATAAGTCCAATTTTGGATAGAGGGAATTTCAGGTATCTGTGAGACATCCCCTGGAATTATCTAACAGGCAGATGATATTTATGAAAGAAATCTATATTATAAATGAAGATTTAGGAGTTACTCAGTATAAAGAAGGCAAACGGAGCCAAGACATTAAATTAAATTTCCAGAGAGACTGTACAGAGTGAGAAAAGAAAGGTATCTATGCCAGAATCTCGAGGAAAACCATTATTTTAGATGTAGAGAGAAGGCCAAAGGCAAAGAAAGAATCTCAAGAAAATAATGGTAAGTAGTTAATAACCAATACTAAGAAATCAAGAAGATTAAGGATGTGTTTCAGAAAGATAATTCTGACAGAAATTAGAAAAGAGTCTAACTCCCACTATTTCCACCAACCACATAATCCTCTATTTCTTTACCAGTTTTACTTTTTTCATGACACTAATTATTTGAAATTCATTCCTCTCTCTCTCTCTCTACTAGAAAGGGAGCTCCACGAAAGCAGAGATCTTTGTGTCTTGTTCACTCCTGTCTACACAGCATTTAGAAATAGTACCTGGCATGGAGTAGGTTCTCCATCAATACTTACCAAACTCAAATATCAAGGTAAAAGACAAGAGGACTACAACCAGGTCAGTGACAATGAATTCGAAAGACAGATATGAAAGACATTTTGGAGACAAAATCATCAGGACCTGGTGACTGACTAAATATAGGAGACTGGGAAAACAAAGCGTTTAACTATTACTACCAACGAAATTTCATTTGGTAGCCTACTACCAGTTGTATCAGGTGTTATCAAAATCATAGTCTTACATTCCAAAGTTATTTAGCTTTGTCCACTTAATATGCTCCCACCTCCTGGAACTGTCATCAATCTGAAGACACTGAGTAATATGAATAGTTCAAATAGGAAAAACAATGAATAAATTTTAGTATGTATTCTGCATGGCATCTGGATAGCAAAATATCTACGTACAAAATATGTACGTACAAAATATGTACGTAGAGGCTTCTCAGAGCTGTGCTCATTAAATCACCTAAAGATTTTCTTATCAAAACGCATCCAAAGTTAAGTGGCTGGCAAAGTAGTTAAGTACACAGAGATACTGAAATGAAGTGAAAGATGCTTTAAATTTCAGTTGTGTCACTCCGTAACTACGTGATCGCTCTATGCACCCCAGTTTCCTCATCCTCACAAGAGAAATTATATAAATATTAATCTTAGCTGCTAGAGAAATGCTTTCACAAAGAACACTACCATTAATTATCACCCAAATTTGCTGATATACAGTCAGATATAAACACTTTATTTAAATCTCATTAAGTCCAATGGGGTGCTGATGCTAATACAGCCACTCAACATTCTCCTCCTGCCTGATTCTCATCTCCTAATACTTTTCAGCATAAATCCTCCACTCCAGGGAAACCCACTTATTTTCTGTCACTTGAACACACCCTAAATATTCCTTAAACTCAGTTTCTGACATTTCTCTTACCTTCCTTCCACTTCAGTCCTACTCATTCCTCAAGGCTCTACCTAAGTTCTTATTTTTCTCTGAAGCTTCTCTATTGACCACCCAAGCTCACCATGATCTTCCCCCTCTGAATCCCTGTAACATTTTTCCATACCTTCCGGTTAACATTAATAACATACTACAATGAGCTTTATACTTCTTACTTCCTAACTATAATATCACTAAGTACAGGCTCTAAACAAAACACGACTTTGTATAACATAAAGTACCTAACAAAGTACTCTGCACAATAGTTTGCACATATTAGAAACTGTCTACACGTAGCCCCATTTGATAACTTAGCAATTGGCCAGGGAAGGCACAAAACATTTAATTAAATATTTAATGTCATCACAATAAACCAGTTGTTGGAGCCAGAGACAGGAGAACCCACTCCCCAGCACTGCCACTCCGTTCATGGGTCCAGACACAAAGAGGTGCTCTGAGGGCTGAAGGTGTGGACTGTGGGCATTCCTGCCCAGCAAGAAACTCTCCAGCTTGCCTGTACCCACTGCCACCGACCTGCACCTCTCCAGGAGCTGCCTGCCAAAGCAGGGAGAGAGGAGAATCTCCCCATTTCCTTCAGGCCCTGGAAATGCCTTTCCCACCTACACAACTTAACTGATGCTACTTACACATTAAAATCCTAAAGGCAAAAAAAAAAAAAAAAAAACAGGCCATTTAATGAAATAAGCCTTTAAGCTCCTTCTTCCCATTCTACCTTCTGACTTAGTTGTTAAAGAGGCAACAGTCACCAAAATGTGTTCACCTTGCCTGTAGGCAGACCTTAGCCTTTTCTTCCCATCGTTCAGAGACTGTAAGGAGCTCCTGTAGTTCAGCCATTGCTTTCTCCACAGCATGGTGGGGTGCCAACCCTACCCCAGAGTCTATCAGTTTCTTCATGACATCCAAAGTGACTTGCTGTGGATCTGATAAGGTCAGTCTTACTTCGTCCAACCACCGAGCCTGTTGCAGCTCTTGCTTCAGTCGTGGTAATTCAGGGAGTTCCACATACAGACTAGAGCCCATATCTATCAACATTTGGAGTTTGGAAGAATCTGGGGTTTCATCCATCATGGCCTCCTGAGCACGTTCATGAAACTCTTCCACATCATCTAGCAGATTCTGAAAAGGTCAAAAGAAATAAAAATTCGAAAAACAAATTTAAAAGATACAAAAAGAGTATGAACTAGACATAGTCAAGGCACACTATCAATTCTAGACTCTCATAATCTCACCATAACACCAAATATTCAGATATGATAGTTAAATTAATAAATATGCTTTTGTGTAATTACTTCTAGCTATACTCCTACTTTTGAAATATAGTTGATTCATTCAATAAATATTCAATGACTGCTGATTTAGATGCAGGCACTTTTCCAGGCACACAGTATTAAAGAAGACATAAAAAGTCCTTGTCGTCAGAGAACAGACTTATTTTATTTTTTTTGAGACAGAGTCTCGCTCTGTCGCCCAGGCTGGAGTGCAGTGGCACGATCTCGACTCACTGCAAGCTCCGCCTCCCGGGTTCACGCCCTTCTCCTGCCTCAGCCTCCCAAGTAGCTGGGACTACAGGTGTCCGCCACCACGCCCGGCTAATTTTTTGTATTTTTAGTAGAGACGGGGTTTCACCGTGTTAGCCAGGATGGTCTCAACCTCCTGACCTCATGATCCGCTCGCCTCAGCCTCCCAAAGTGCTGGCATTACAGGTGAGAGCCACCGTGCCCGGCCCAGAGAACATACATTCTAATGCAGGTGACCAGACAGTGAACACACAAATAAAATGTTTCAGTTAGTGTCAAGTGCTCTGAAAATAAGGCAGCACAACAGAGAATGACCAGAGCGGGCAGAGGCATATTACTTAGCAATGTCATGGTAGTCACAGAAGGCAAACTGAAACTAAATTGAGGGTTGGGGAGGAACTACAAGAGGGTCTGAAGGAAGAACAATTAGGGCAGGGTAAATAATAATTGCAAACGCTTTTAAAGAAGAATGAGCTTGGTGTGTTGCTACAAGTGGACGATGGAGAAATGTGATTAAAAAATAAGCAGAAGTCAGACTACACAGTATCTTCTAGGTTACAATGAGTTTGAATTTCATTCAAATGGCTTTGGGGAACCACTGGAGAATTTTAACCACAGGGAAGTGATGTGATTTGATTGAAAGTTTAGATGATCATTCTGGTTACCAAACAAAAAATACAATGTCAGACGAGCAGCAGAGAAAGCAGCTGAAAGCCGGTTGCAGTAATCCAAGGGGCACATTCCAGTGGTGTAGAACATAGTGTAGGCAACGGAGAGGACAATAAATGCTTTGCTTTAGGATCTACTTTGGAGATAACAGCAGCCAGCACTTGTTTAAATATTGAACACGGGGAATAAGGGAAATAAAGAAATCAAGGAGTTTGATTCATTTGGTTCATTAAAAGGCTTAAGGCCAGGTGTGGTGACTCATGTCTGTAATCCCAGCACTTTGGGAGGCCAAAGCAAGTGGATTGCTTGAGCTCAGGAGTTTTGAGACCAGCCTGGGCAAAATGTGAAACCTCGTCTCTACAAAACATACAAAAATTAGCCAGGTGTGGTGGTGTGCACCTGTAGTACCAGCAACTTGGGAGGCTGAGGTGGGAGGATTGCTTGAGTCTGGGAAGCAGAAGTTACAGTGAGCTGAGACCACACCACTGTACTGCAGCCTGGGTGACAGAGCCAGACCCTGTCTCAAAAAAAAAAAAAAAAAAAAGAAAAGAAAAAAAGGCTTTAATATGCCTTTTAGTCCACCAAAAGGAAATCCAGAGTACACAGGTGGACATACAAGTCTGTAGGGAAAAAGGCATCCAGGGCTGGAGATGTGGGATTGAATCAACAGGATACAGGTGATATTTAATGTCACTGGGCAAATAAGGTATCAGAAGTGGGGGCACCTGAAGAAAGGGCCAAGACTCCTCATATACTCCAACACTTGAGAAGTCAAGTCAAAGAGAAAACAAGCAGCAAGAAGACTTAAGAGAAGAACTGCCAACGAGCTAAGAAAAAACCCAGCAAGTGTGGTGTCACAGCGGCTTAAAGAACAGCATTCAAGAAAGAGTAGTCGGCTATCAAAACGCTCTTATGAAATGGAATAAGACAAGAACACAGCTGACCCTAGATTTCACAAGTTGATAACCTTGATAAAAACTATAAAAACTATTTTAGGCCGGGCAGTGGCTCATGCCTGTAATCCCAGCACTTTGGGAGGCGGAGGCGGGTGGATCACCTGAGGTCAGGAGTTTGAAACCAGACTGCCAACATGGCGAAACCCCGTCTCTACTAAAAATACAAAAATTAACTGGGCGTAGTGGCCCATTCCTGTAATCCCAGCTACTCGGGAGGACCACTTGAACCCAGGAGGCGGAGCTTGCAGTGAGCCGAGATCGCGCCACTGCACTCCAGCCTGGGCGACAGAGCGAGACTCCCTTCTCAAAAACAAAAACAAAAAACACTATTTTAGACCTCTACCCACCCCCAAAACACAAAAACACCCCAAACTATCAAAAGATCATTAACTATGGAGATTAATATATTTGATACATACTTTTAAGATTTTACATATTTATTAAGCCATCAGGGTGCTGGTAATTTCAGAGCTCTGCATTTTTAAAAGCTCATGTATTAATAACACTGATACATGCAGATTATTTTAGCTAATTTCTTGCATCTCAATTACATCTATGTTAAATGGGTGTTCTGAACTAAAATTAATATAGAAAAAAAAATTCTTTATCAGCCTTACAGAATTTTAAATGGGGAATAATGGCTAAGAACAAAACCAAAAAACTGCCTATTAAAGAACCTCAAACAGCAGCATATAGTGAGAGAAAAAAAAAATTAGAGCATAAAACTAGTTTACATATACCATTCTGTGAAACCCAGAACAGAAGACCATGTCACAAAGGACATTACCCAAAAAAAGGATGTCATACTCCACCTTCACTTGCCGAGCTTGGCTGATGACACACGGAAGACTAAAAAGTTGTTGGACAAAGGCCTTCAATTCTTCCACTGTCAGTTTGGTCCGAGTCCTCCCACTATCTGGGCTCTGTCTGATGTGAAACAATATTGAGATATAAGTAAGAAAAAATCAGTCATTCTGATATCACAAGGGCTCCTAGTCTCTTCAGAATTCAAACCTAAGCAATCCTAGAATCCCAGTGTTTGAGGGATTACACTGCAATGGTGACCACTTCAAAACAGTTTTTAAGTTCTTCAGTTAATGACTCAAAGATTCAACTCTCCAAGTTACAGTTCCTTCGATCTACAAGTATTAAACATTTCAAACATTACATAAATTCCTCATAGCTGGAATATTAAGTTCACTGATAAAACTTAACCCTGTATCTCAAGAAGGTTAAAATGTGAAAGAAGAGCCTTTACCCTGCCTTAGGTTACAATGAATCCTCTGAAAGTGTTGCAAAATTTGTGTGTATATGATTTTTCTAAGAGGATTCCTAAACTTTTACCAGGTTCTCCAAGTGGGGTCACTGGCCCAATGACAAGCTAAGAGCCGTTGATCAATGTCTCTAAGAAAAGTTATCTAACAAAATGGTAAATAAAAAATTTACAAAGTAATTTAAAAACCCCATATGAATTGCTATAGAAAAGCCATTCAGACAGAAGAAATGTGCTGGAATTACACCACCACATTTAAATACTACAGAAAATTTAATACTTAGGAATTACATCACATCAAGGGTGCATACTTCTATGCTTAACAACCTCCTCTGCATCCATCAAGGTTACCCTTTGCTGCCACCTGCCTTCAGCCTATAGTTTCCATTTATTCATTGACAAATATTTATTGCACAACTATGTGCCAGGCATTGTTTTAAGCACAAGAAATATGACAATGAAAAAAATTCCTGATATTCTAGTCTTGTGTACGTTCTAGTGGGGGATGGGGAAGAGAAGACAGATAATAAATAAAAGATGTAGATTAGTATATTAGCAGGTGATAATGCTAGGAGAAAAACAAAGCATGAAAAAGGGTAAGAGGACTGTAATTTTATAAAGGCTTGTCAGAAAAGCCCTCGCCAACAAAGTGACATTTGAAAACAAAAGCTTCAAAGAGGCAGGTCACGGAACAAGCCACCTGGATATGGTGGGAAGGGAACTCCGAGTAGAGTAAAGAGAGAGCATGAAGTCCTAAGCAAAAACGTGCCTGCATGTATGAAGAACGGCAAGAGAAAGAACACTGCAGGCTGGAGCAAGAAAGAAGGGAGAATAGTAGGAGATAAAACTGGAGCATCACTGGCAGTGAGAGACACGGCCACAAGAGCTCCAAGACAACGTAGGGCTTCGCAGGCCAGACAAAACTTTGGTTTTTACTCTGAAAGAAAGAGAACAACGATAATTAAACTCGTCTTAGGTTTACCTGTGTTTCTGCTTTTTGCTCAGAAGTAGCTGAGCCACAGAAGCACAGGTCTCAGCTTCTTTTACAGCATCCCTGAGTTTTCGAAAGAGATCATTCTCTGGGTATTTCCTATCCTCAGCATCTTCCAGCATTACTCGCAATTCAATCAAATCTGTAAAAATAAATAAAGAGCCATATACAATGACCACAGACACAAAAAGCCATTCTAAAATCTTCACCAACCTCACTCAAGTGAGTCCCCAACCTACTAGTAGAAACATAAAATTAGTAGAAACAAACAGCTGTGAAAATCTCACCAGCACAATAAAAGCTAACAACCAGGTGCTCATTTATAATCCTTATAGACAATTTCTCTCAGGTAAATAAATTTCTCTTTCCAAAGAAGCCTTCAGTGTTAGTCTTACTGGTAATAGTGGGTTCCCAACATATATAATAAATTTACTGCAAGTTAGATGTCCGGTCCATTTTTAGTCAGTTTTTTCATTTCAAAGAAGATTCTCAAATAGAAAATTAAGTCTATATTCAACCAACCCATTAATCTCAAATCTCATAGGAAGCCTAGGATTTTTCTTTTACGGAAAGAGAAAACAAAACTAAACAAAGCCTCTTTTAAAGTGACAATCAATTCAGCATATGTATATGAAAGAAGGAAATTTAACCTTTTTTGTGGTTGAAGTTAGCAGACAATGCTTCTGTAACACGACTGACCCACGTGTCATAGGACTGTGCCCTGACTTTTACACCATATAGCAGAGAAGGGAGGTCTTCTAATGGGTAGCGGTATCTACAAAAAGAAAACACAAACACACACAGAAATAAAAATCTCAAAAACCAGAAATAACTTAAAAATAAAGTTTTAAGTATAATCGGCTTAAGAATACAATGGCCAAGGGAATGGGATCTTCGTTCACATGAGGAGAAAATCAAACCAGCCCACCGTTTTTAATGCAAGGAGACAAGGAACATGTGAAATCAACTGATAAAGAAAGTAATTTCAGCTGCCAAGTTTAGGGCCAACTTTAAAGGACCGGTCTTCAAGCCTAGAAGCAGACAGAGAAGTTGAGAAGTCCAGAGTAAAGAGTAAAGGAAAGGAATAAGTAAAAACAACATTAAGACTTGGTTTTAAAAAAAGGTCATGGAAGCTTTACAAAATACTTTTGGATACCTAAGACATTTCTTCTGCATGGGGCAGGGGCACAGGTCAGTTGGATGATAGAGACATACAAGCCGCTCAGGATTACAGGAACATGTGAGAGCAGAGAGAAAACATGTGGTTCTGCATGCTGAACACTGTCGCTCATCATCAGGAACAAGTTCAAACACTTCTTCTTCTGACATCAGGACACCCTGAAATATAATTTATTGCACTAGATCAAGTCTTTCTAGTCTTTAAAACATCAAAACACTTAAGTTACTACATTTTTTTCCACAGACAAATCTCTGACTTAAAGGCATAAACATGAAAGGTACAATGGCACAACATCGAAATACTTCCTAAAAGTAATCATCGCTGTTTTTCAATGCGCAAGATTAAAGTTTGGTATCTAAGGATGCACATTTGAACGACAAAACTATAAAGAAATGTGGGCTGGGTGCAGTGGCTCATGGCTATAATCCCAGCACTTTAGGAGGCCAAGATGGAAGGATTGCTTGAAGCCAGGGATTTGAGGCCAGCCAGGGCAACAAAGTCAGCATCCCTACAAAAACATGTTTAAACATTACCCAGGCATGGTGGTGCATGCCTGCAATCCCAGCTACTCAGGAGGCTAAGGAGGGAAGATCATTTGAGGCCAGGCTGCAGTGAGCTATGATAGTACTGCTACACTCCAACCCCAGCCGACACAGCAAGACCCTGTCTCTAAAAAAAAGAAACGTGATTACCACAAAAGTCAAGACAGTTTTTTGACAGAAGGGAAGAAAATTGTAATTGGGAGGCATTCTGGGGGTGGCTGGCCCCGAACTCCCAATTACATCCTTGAGCAAAATAAATTAGTAATCTATTATCCAAAAGTAATAGTGACATATACAAACATATATAAGGACAAAGAAGTATAAAGTAAATTGTGCAAATCAAAATCATCAAAAAGAAAGTTAAGACAAATTCAGTATGCCAAGAATATAAGAGTGGGCAGGGTGCAGTGGGTCACGCCTGTAATCCCAGCACTCTGGGAGGCTAAGCCGGGCCGATCACCTGAGGTCAGGAGTTTTGAGACCAGCCTGGCCAATATGGTGACACTTCGTCTCTACTAAAAATACAAAAATTAGCCGGGCGTGGTGATGCATGCCTGTAGTCCCAGCTACTCAGGAGGCTGAGGCAGGAGAATCGCTTGAGCCTGGGAGGTGAAGGTTGCAGTGAGCTGAGATTGCACTACTGCACTCCAGCCTGAGTGACAGAGCAAGACTCCCTCTCAAAAAAAAAAAAAAAAAAAAAAGAATATAAGAGTATACGAAGTGCATTTTACCAAAGACCTCCATTTATTATACAACTTTACAGTTTCTGCTTACTTGATGGAGCAAGTTACTTGGAAACACAATTCTGCAAGAAGAGCAAACTCTCTTCATTTAAACAAGGTGGGAACCTGATAATTTATTCACTGGCATGCACAATTCTGGTTTTTCATCATACATTGTTTTTGATACCAGTTTAATTTAGATGTCTGCTGGCCATATTCTCCTATCTTTCCATTTTCTCATACTGGCATTTAGTATTTTCTTTAAAAATTATTTTAACATAAAAACAGTTTCAAAATGCACTGCACAAACTTCTTAGTTTATAAGAATTTAGCTTCAGAACAACTAGCAATGCTGTTCTCAAGGGAATGCTAAGGTGGCAACCGAGAAAGTTCTGGCTGCTTCAAGAAATTTTATACAGTTTTCCAAAGTGTACTCCAAGGATCACAGATCCTAAAAGATACTCTGGGGAAAACAATTTTTTTTTGTCCCAGGTGTGGAGGCTCACACCTATAATCTCAGCACTTTGGGAGGCTGAGGTGGGAGGACTACTTGAGCCAACAAGTTCAAGACCAGCCTGGGCAACATAGGAAGACAATGTCTCTACAAAAAAAAAAAAACAAAAAAACAAGGAAAAACATTTTTTTGGAAAATGCTACGGATTATATCCCTCCTACTTCACAGATAACAATGAACACCAGCATATTCAAGAATCAGCAGTTCTGCAGTAAAGATCTCATTTATCTTTCTTTTTGGCCTATATATGTTTTTATTAATTTTTACCGTTAATTTTCCTATACCTTTTAAGTAATTTTAAAATCCTGAAAACTGGAAAAGTATATATTTCACATTATTTTAGGTCCTCCTATTTTTTGTACCCAAACTAGAATTCATTGTTCTTTTACTTTTCTAGTCTTAAATGAAGCTAACATCAATATTTTAAATATATCCCTTTACCTTTTCTTAGCCTGCCATTTTCCAAATGTTTTTAGCCACAGAACTTTTCCTTATAATACCTTCTAAAACATTACAAAGCTTATATTCCTGAGAATATACTTTAGAAAACCATAAATAAGGAGAAAATGGAGAGAAGAAAAAAGCTAGAAATACAAATTAAAAGCTATTTGAGGCCAAGCACAGTGGCTCATGCCTGTAATCCCAGCACTTTGGGGCGCCAAGGTGGGCAAATCCCTTGCGGCCAGGTGTTCCAGACCAGCCTGGCCAACATGGTGAAATCCCATTTTCTACTAAAAATACAGAAAATTAGCCAGGCGTGGTAGTGTGCACCTCTGGTCCCAGCTACTGGGGAGGCTGAGGCAGGAGAATCACTTGAACCTAGGAGACAGAGGCTGTAGTGAGCCAAGGCTGCGCCACTGCACTCCACTCTGGGTGACAGAGCGAGACTCCGTCTCAAAAAAAACAAAAACCAAAAAAGGCTATTTGAAATAAGCCAGGTGAGAAAATTAGGGAATGGAACAGGATGGTGTAGCAGTAAGGAAAAAAAGGGGGCAAGGGAGAATGAAGAGAAACAGTGCCAAAGAAAAACTTAAAACTAGGTAACAAGCCAGGCGCAGTAGCTCACACCTATAATCCCACCACTTTGGGAGGCTAAGGTGGGTAGATCACCTGAGGTCAGGAGTTCGAGACCAGCTTGGCCAACATGGTGAAACCTTGTCTGTACTAAAAATACAAAAATTAGCCAGGTGTGGTGGCTCACGCTTGTAACCCTAACTACTCAGGAGGTTGACACAGAATTGCTTGAACCTGAGAGGTGGAGACAGCAGGTGAGCCATGATTGCGCCACCGCACTCCAACCTGGGCAACAGAGTGAGACTCTTTCTCAAATAAATAAATAAACAAAACAAAAAACTAGGTAACAGATAACTACGAAGGAAACGAGGCCAGGTGTGGTGACTCACGCCTGTAAACCCAACACTTTGGGAGGCTGAGGGGGGCAGATAACCTGAGGTCAGGAGTTCGAGACTAACCCAGCCAACATGGTGAAACCCTGTCTCTACTAAAAATACAAAAATTAGCTGGGCAAGGTGGTAAACGCCTGTAATCCCAGCTACTCGGGAGGGTAAGGCAGGAGATTCGCTTGAACCCAGGGGGCAGAGGTTGCAGTGAGCTGAGATCGTGCCACTGCACTCCGGCCTGGGTGGCAGAGTGCAATTCCATCTCAAAAAAAAAAAGGAAATGTATGAGTCAAGATCACACTAAGTTTTTACATGGTGGTCCTGGCGCTTACTAAGAGGAGGCAATTAGGAAAGAAAGTAGTTTATGAAGGGTGGACAGGAAGGAGATTTTCTATTTCAGATGCTGAAACTGAGATGATAAAAATCTAAATAGAAATGTGCAATACACATGTTGGAAACACAGATTACAAATGAGTGGCTGGACACAGCCTCTTTCAAAGTGACAATAATTCCTGTGTGTAACATAACAGGAGGAAACTTTAAGTGAGAACTGAAACCACAAGGTAATAGCTGACAGACTTAAGACGCTTAGATGAGAATTCCAAGATAAACGGCACAAAATAACAACAATAAACAGTCAAAGGCTGAACCCTGCACACGTTGTTGAGGATATAAGGAGAAAGAACTAGAAATGATAGGCAAATATAATCAAAGAGACTGAAAAAACAGTAGAGCAAATGTTAGGGAAAGAAACCAAAGCACCAATATATAGTGCAACAAAAAGCTCACGGGGGTGGAAGACACAGAAAGACACCACTGGATTTTGGCCGGGCGCGGTGGCTCACGCTTGTAATCCCAGCACTTTGGGAGGCCGAGGCGGGAGGATGATGAGGTCAGGAGATGGAGACCATCCTGGCTAACACGGTGAAACTCTGTCTCTACTAAAAATACAAAAAATTAGCCAGGCTTGGTGCCTGTAGCCCCAGCTACTCAGGATGCTGAAGTAGGAGAATGGTGTGAACCCGGGAGGTGGAGCTTGCAGTGAGCCAACATCACGCCACTGCACTCCAGCCCGGGCGACAGAATGAGACTCTGTCTCCAAAAAAAAAAAAGACACCACTGGATTTTGCAATAAAGTGTGTCACTGGTGAACTGAGACTTTCAAAAGTATGATGGGAACAGAATGACAATGATAATGAAAGGATAAAGAGGATATAAGACTGCTGACCACAGGAAAACCACTTAGGATTTTCAGTAAAAGGTAAAATGAAAACTTTTCTTAAAATAGGAAAGACAAGTTCATAATGCAAAGGAAGGGCAGGGATAACTAACTGGAACAAGGGCACAGGTGGAAGGTATGTTTAAAGAAGGGTCTACAGAGAAATTTGATCAAAGTATCACAAAGAAACATGGTAGAAGATCAGGAGATGGGGCATTCAAATTATCAAAGAGCAAGGAAAATAATGCCCCAGTCAGGTTAAATCTGAAATACTGAGGACATATCACAAAATCATATTTCATGAGTCTCCACCAATGTACTTAAAATTTCAAAATTCAAAAGAAAGACATTAGGCAATGTGAAAAGGAATCCCATTTTAAATAAATATACAATCAAAATAAGACTTTTAAGAATACAAGTATAGGACAGGCACAGTGGTTCACACCCGTAATCCCAACACTTTGGGAGGCCAAGGTAGGTGGATCACTTGAGGTCAGGAGCTCAATACCAGCCTGGCCAACATAGTGAAACCCCATCTCTACTAAAAATACAAAACTGGCTAGAGAAGGTGGTGCATGACTGTAATCCCAGCTACCTGGGAGGCTGAGGCAGGAGAACTGCTGAACCTGGAAGGCTGAGGTTGCAGTGAGCCAAGATCATGCCACTGCACTCCAGCCTGAGCAACACGGTGAGACTCCGTCTCAAATACAACAACAAAAAAAAATACAAGCTTAAAGTGGGAATATTAAATAATGAAATACCATTATAACCTTATTACAATGTCTAAAGCTGAAAAGACTATACCAAATGTTGGTGAGGATAGAAGGCAACTGAAACTTCTTACACACTGCTGGAGGAAATGTAAAATGGTACAACCACTTTGGAATACAGTGTCATAGTTTTTTAGAAAATATTACACATATAGCTGGGTGTGGTGGCTCACACCTGTAATCCCAGCACTTTGTGAGGCTGAGGCAGGTGGATCACCTGAGGTCAGGAGTTCGAGACCAGCCTGCCAACATGAAGAAACCCCCTTTCTACTAAAAATACAAAAATTAGCTGGGCATGGTGGCGCATGCCTGTAATCCCAGCTACTTGGAAGGCTAAGGCAGGAGAATCACTTGAACCCGGGAGGCAGAGGTTGCGGTGAGCTGAGATCAAGCCATTGCACTCCAGCCTGGGCAATAAGAGCGAAACTCCATCTCAAAAAAAAAAAAAATTACACATACACATACTATATGATCCAACCATTCCACGCCTAATATTTACTCAAGATAAATAAAAGCATATGTCCATCAAAAGGCTGTACGCAAATGTTCAGAGCAATTTAATTTCTAACAGCCAAAAAATGTTAACAATCCAAATGTTCACCCACAAGTGAAAGGATAAACAAATTGCGGTACACCTATTCAATGGAAAACCAGTGTGCAATAAAAAGGAGTAAAGTATTGGTACATGCAACAATATGGATGAGTCTCAAAGTAATTATGCTGAATGAAAGAAATCAGACATAAAAGGACAACTTGTATGGTTTGATTTGAATAAAATTCTCCAAAAAAATAAGCAAAGAAAGAATAGTGGTTTCTGGGGTTTGGGGGCAAGAGGAGAAGGTGATGGTGCAGGATGGCCAGGTGTGGTGCCTCACGCCTGTAATCCCTACGCTTCGGGAGGCCAAGACAGGAGGACTGCTTGAAGCCAGGAGTTTGAGACCAGCCTAGGTAACAAAGCGAGGCTCCACCACTACAAAAAATTTAAAAAATTAGATGGACATGGTAAAATGCACCTGCAGTCCCAACTACTCCAGAGGCTGAGGTGGGAAGATTGTTTGAGCCCAGGAGTTTGAGGCTGCAGTGAGCTATGATTGTGCCACTGCACTCCAGCCTGGGCAAGAGAGAGAACCCATCTTTCAAAAAGGTGGTACAGAGCAAGAAGGAAGAACCATATGAGGGCATGAAAAAACTTGTAGGGGTGATAGATATATTCATTATCTTGATTGTAGCAATGGTTTCATGGGTATATACATAGTCAAAACTTATCAAATTGTACACTTTAAACACATGTACTTTATTACATCTCAATTATGCTTCAACAAAGCTGTTTTAAAAACAAAGACAGAATATCAGGCAGAGGAGGAGGAGGGACATGATACAAAAACAGGAGGAAGCATGGTGTAAACCTAATGAAGCTAGCCAGCTATGCAGGAAATATTAGATAGAACAAGCCAAGATGATGCTAAAGATACACATTTTCTCATATATTAGCCAGTTCAATGTGATGATGCTTGGCTTATTCTAGGTATTTTAAATCCCAACCCTTGGTTATTCCATCCTTCCTATTCATCAAATTACTTAAAGGGGAGGGAAAAAGATTAATTCAAACTGACAGTCTATAATTGCCAGAAACACAACTTATTCAACACAAAGCTCAGAAAAAAAATGATTTAAATATTATTGTTTAAACAATACTGTATGTAGAAGATTTAAAACATAAATATATACCTAAAAAATTCTGATAGGACTTGTTTTAAAAACCTAGATGATAAGATTCCTAAAACGTTTTTAATCTGGAGAAACCAATATGTCAGTTATAAAAACATAAAATCTTCTCCATATCAGTGATTTTTATGTTCAACTCCTAGGGAATCAGAGATGAAAATTCTATCTATAGGTTTATTTAGCATACCCCATAAGCAGTATCAAACATAGAAAATGTGCTCAGCAAACTCACCATCTGTACAACAGACTCTCTTAATCGTGTTTCTTCTTCAGTCATGAGAGTCAATTCTTTGCAGACCATGGCAGCCAGCCCCACATCTAAGCATTCTGGATCTGCTGCCATCTTGAAAATGAGTTCCTCATGTGAAAAGACACAATGGCGCCTTAGGCGTCGGTAATGATTCACACACTGACGTCCAATGGGCAACTGAAAAGGAGATTTCCAAATTAAATAACTCGACTATAACATACCCCAGAACAGAAACACTACTTACCCTCCAGGTCCTCCCTTTTATTAGAAAGAAGACAGAATACCAAATCCATTTAAATATAAAGAGGCAATATTACATTAACTGTAAATATTAACCCTGTATGACCCAGCCAGAATTTCAAAGGCTTTCCCACAGAAAATTCCCATAATCTGAAATGCTAAATTTCTGGCCTAAACTGCTAATTTGCTATTTATTGTATATCAAGGAGTTCTTTGGTATATAACTGAGGCAGCAAACTCTTTCTGACCAATTTAACACGAGCCTGCCCTTACAAGAAAAAGAAAAATACTGTAAAAGTAAATAATTAAATAAGTTCAGGCCAAAAAGGGTTAGGTGGAAATACTCAGGACTCAAATTTCCATAGAACAAAAAGAACAGATGTTATTAGAAGAAAAAAAAAGAAAGAAAAAAATAGGAAAGAGGGAAAAAGTAATACTTAAGCAATCCACATTGGCTGACATTTAGTTTTTCTGCAAAAACCAAAACAAAGGACGATTTAGATTTTAGAATCTAGAAATTATTTTAAAAACAAGCCTGGCAGAAAGATAATTCAAAGTGAAATTATAAAATTATATACTTTATTTCCCTAACAGTGAAATAAATGATTAAATGATCACTTTTCATAAATGAACAGTTACAGCCTTTAAAATAAATCTTGAAAATCTCCGTAATTATCAAGCTACAAGCCAAATTATAACAGCAGCTATGCCCTACACATCAATACGCACTCCAACTTCAACTTCTTTCCTATGCTCAGGCAGAAGAACTTGGATGAAGGAGTTTTGTTTGTATTTGTAATACAAAAGAGAAAAAGTAAGAAACTGACCTTTAAGACCCTTTTAGAATTCATCTACAGTTTGAGAAAGGCAGAAAGGAATCCGAGAAATCAAAGAAAATATGAGGCTATCTCTGAATTATGCAGTGTTTCCACACTCTTCAAAGAAAAAACTTTCCCAAGGAAAAAGTAAGAGTGTGTGTGTGTGTGTGTGTGTGTGTGTGTATTTTGAACCTATGATTAGCAATTATTTTGTCTATTAACAACACATAACTCTTTCATATCTTAAGTACGTACTCTTTAAAAATTTCTCATCTAGTCTCAATACAAAAACAAGTAGAAGAAAAAATCATACTGTGGGATTTGCAGTTCTTAACTATTAAAATATGTGAGGAAGCCACATAAAATAGAAGTGATTACCCATTGTAACTTATAAAAATTAGTCCCATTAATTTATTCCAGAGCTAAAACTGCTACAACTTTTAATTTGTATCACACCCTTCTTCTAAAGAGTGTCAAGGGCTTCCACGCATATCCTCTAACTTGTCTGAGGTTATTAAGTGAATCTATCAGCATCTTTACACACCAGCTAAACAACTCAGGCCCAGTGAAATGTTAAAAGCTGCCCAAGGTCAAATGCCAATAACAGTGACAAGGGGAACAGCAGAAACTATCTCCAGCTCCTAAATCCTCCCATTTTCTACCCTACACCTAGCCAATTACCATGTATCATAAACACTCAATAAACGCTGCTTGAATGTTTAGAAACAGAGCTCAAGCCCACGGCAAAACCTAAGCCTAGTCTTGTTCCTGCTAAATTATGCTGTTTCCAAAGCCTAGTAAGAAAAAATTTCAAAACTATTGGATCAAGAAAGACTGTTCATTGTATCATTTTACTCGTTAGCAAAGGAAACAAAAACAATCTCTATATGGTTAATCATGGAATTTAACAAATTAAGGTGCCTGCAGAAAACATAAGATCCATTATTAAAGGGTTGCCCCCAAAATGTTAACAGAAGCAACAAAAACAGCACCAATACAAGAAAATAAAGTCAGTGTGTATCATAAATATACTGTACAGTCTTCTCCCAAGCAACATAACAGTCACTAAATACTTTGATTATCTACTTCATACAAAAGCAAAACAGCAATTACCTAGCATTATCATTTACATAAAAGTATAGTGCAGAGATCTCAATATTATAGTTACTCTTTTAAAATTAAAAAAAAGAACAGAACAAAACATAAAATGGCAAGACTAGTAAAATCAACTAATTGCCTAACAGAAAAAAAAAATGAAGGAATTTGTAAAATTTCAAAGCTACGTATTTGAAAATACAGTAGAATATCTGAAATTATCTCTATAAGCCTGATCACCTTAATAAGTCCCAAAAACGCTCAGAGAAAGCAAAAGCGAAGAAAACCATACGTGGGTGCACAAGTAGTTGCAGTTTTAAAACTGCAATTACTTGTGCACCAACTTGTATCTTCAATGGCAAAAGCCACTATTACTTTTGCACCAACCTGCATTTTCCCTTAGAAAAGAAGGATTCAGAAAGAATCGACTGACTATAAGTTCAAACAATCTCTCTCTTCTGAGCACCTGACCAGAAGGGAGGGAGTCCAAATAAACGAAAGTAAAGGAGAGAAGTAAAGGAAATGGGGGAAGTGGAAAGGGAAGGAAAAGAATGGAAATGAAAGAAGCAAGTTCAAACAGAATGAGGAAAATAATAAATGGGTAAGAACTATAAAATCTTCAAAATAAAAAATGTGATGGAAATCTATTTAGCTTTCTAAACTATAATAGCCACTCCAGTCTCCACTAAAATACTGATGAACCGTACCCTGAGCCCAGCTAAGCAAACATAGCAACTGAGCTGCTTTATATTTATAGGGGGTTAGTAGACGTACAACAGCCACTTGCTATAGAACAGACCCAGTCAGCAGTACAGAAGTTCACAGCTTCAGCAAAGTTGTAGCCCTGGTTAAATCCAGAGTGATAGGCACGAGGAAATGTCACAACAAACTCGCCAGCACACTGATTGGTCCTGTACACCTAAATGCAAATTGGGAACAGGGATACAAAAATAAAAAATAAAAACAACAAAAAGAGGAAGACAGATTTTATTAGTCAGAAAATTTCAGATGCATTTTCTAAAACTGAAAACAATTAAGTTAAACATATCGGAAAATGATATCAGAAATAGCCAGAATTCTACCTTCTTAAAATAGTCACTGATAATAGATTATAATTCATGACAAGAATCAGCAGCCAAAAGAAATTCTCAAAAAAAAAAAAAATTACTCTTAATGAGCTACGAGTTTCTTAAACTGATACAATTTTTACAATTAAAAGAATTTGTTTTATTCTTGTATCGTAAATAGTGGCAAAGAATAGAATTTCCTGCTACTTTTGGATAGTTTTTTGGAACTAACTAAACTCACATAGCACATGAGACATCCCCAATGAGATGTCCCCCAAATCAGTTTTCTTGAAATCTCACTTTGTTTTACAATAATACTGTATGTCTCCTGAAAAGTCTCAGATTCTGGTATAAATTTATTACTTAAAAACAAAGTAACTTTATAAATGTTACTCAATCTACTTTCTCTTTAAGGTTATGATGAATATTTGATTATCTATAATAAACCTGTTAAATTTATACTTTATCAGGCATTAGCTTGAATTTGAGAAACATCTTCAAACTTAGGTTCAAAAGTGAAAAAGGCATTTGCAGTATATTTTTATTTCATTATCTCATGTATTAAAAGCTAAGAAATCTGAGAAAATAAGGATAAGCATACTTATTAGTTATTAGGATAAGCATCCTTATTAGTTATTAGAGCCACCACTTAAAATACCTCTGCTTTGGTTAAACAGGGATAACAAAGAATATGAGATTTTTGTTCAAAGTAGGATGTAATATTTACCGAAAAAAGAAGGCTACGTGAATAGGTAGCTATACATAAAGTATGATTTATACTTTAATACTCCCCTTCTTAATCAGATAAAAGTTGTTCCCTGCAGAGTATAAATTCTAATTTGGCTAAAAGATGTTATGACTCATTTCTAGTTACAAAACAAAGCACATGTCGTTATTCTATCTAATCAAAAGCTAAAATAACTTTAAATTAAAACTACTGGCTGGGTGCAGTGGCTTGCACCTGTAATCCCAACACTTTGGTGGTCGAGGTGGGAGGGCTGCTTGAGCTCAGGAGTTCGAGAACAGCGTGGGCAACACAACAAGGTTTTGTCTCTAAAAACATACAACAAATTAGCCGGGGGTGGTGGTGTGCTCTTACAGTCCCAGCCACTCACCAGGCTGAGGCAGGAGAACTGCTTGAGCTGAGCAGGTCGAGGCTGCAATGAGCAATCATTGTGCCACTGCACTCCAGCCTGGGCCACAGAGCAAGACCCTGTTTCAAAAATGAAAAAAACAAACAAACAAGAAACTGAAGGAAGACAGCAAAAGACTCACAGGCACACCATGCTCCATCAGCACATTGGGGTTCATGATGGTGACTAACTGATGCAGAAGATCAGGCTGGGATTCAAATAACTCAGGGGCCAGCTCTCTCATCACCTCCTCCAGTTGTTCTGCAGCATGAGATGGCACACCATACCATGTCTTTGGCTCCCCCCTAGCAAAAGAAATAACTGTTTAGGCAGAACATGGTACCAATGAGGCTAGGGTATCTGATTCCAGTCCACCAAATTATAATTAACTCGTCTTATTCCATGGTCAGATTATATGCCCTGAATTCTAGCAACCATCTCATAAACCTGTGCTGTTGTTCACAACAGGAGGTAAGTAAATAGTAGTATATATAGGCAGATACAAACTTATCACTACAATTAGAAAAGCAACTCAGTACATGAACTCTGGAAGGCAGATCAGTGAAAACACCTTCAAACAGGAAAGACGCTGTATGAAAAGCAAGCACTGTCCCAAAGGGTGCTGATACATGACCTTGATTCACAGGTCCATGTGAATAACGGACATTCCAACTATCCCCACAATGATCAGAACAAGTCAGTGCTCTCTAGAATGCCTCTAAACAGCTTCACTGAGTTCAGTTTTACCACCCAAAGAAACAGGCCAAGGCTAGAAATTACGGAAACCTTAAACAGACTCTGTCTGTAAACCTTAAAGATCAAAAACTTGGCATCATTAATCCACTAGACTTCAGCAGAGTCCGCGCATGCTGTATTTTAGACTGTACATACCAGTGCAAGTAGTTGATGGAATAACTCCAGTGATCTTCAATGTGCCAGCAAAAAGAAGAGAAACACATTCCCACATAGAGCCATGGCACTTTCATACCAGAGATGTCCACATTAATATGTGCAAGAACAGACTGTTCCAGGACAGGCATGTTATTCAAATTCCAACCAGAAAGTGCATATTCCTATAAGAGAAAAAAAAAAACAACTGTAAATGAAAAATCAGAGATGAAAAGTGCTCAATAGAAATATCAAGGGAATCTTTCCAGAAAAGTAAAAAATTTTATAATATTTATACTCTAGTGCATACAGTCTGTGATCTTTGCTATCCACTACATGTAACTCATAACTCAATATTTAATCCTACCTTCTGTCTAGGTTCTATTTAGATATCCTTTATCTCAGATACCTCTCGTTTACCATGTAACTCACATAACTCAATATTTAATCCTACCTTCTGTCTAGGTTCTACTTAGATTCCCTTTATCTCAGATGCCTCTGGTTACTCCAAAGCACATGAGCAATTCTTTATTCTCCAGTCGGTCAGGAAAATGGGTCCCACCTTAATACAACATCAATATTTCTATTTTATACCCAGTAGCATAATATCCTAAAATCTTATTACTACATTGATGGAATGGTGCTAATACTGTAAAGACAAAATGTAATAATACACATAATCCTGAACTTGTGGCAACAATGAAGACTGACACAATGCAGAAAGTCACTGCCATCACTCCTAACCATTATACAAACACACCTAGAAATACTGGACAAATGATAACAATAACCAAAAAAGCTTCACAGCTGAACCCAAAAGAAAAGGGAATTCCCAGTTTCTGGAAACAGAGCGGAAGTAAGCCAGAATAAAAAAGGAAGCTGTTGCAAGGGTTTTCACAGGGGCTTCTAATTGGAGACTGGCACTGGAGAATGACTTTCCAACATCCATCCCTGAAGCCATACGAGGCTGTGACTTAAAAAAGTGCTTATCATCTTTACGGAGAGCAGTTCTCAAAATGGGATCCAGAGGATCCACTAAGTCAAACTATTTTCACAGTAATTCTAAGACATCATTTGCCTTTTCCACTTACATTCTTGCAGGAGTATAGTGTGAGTTTTCCAGGGGAAAGATGATATGTGCTATCATAACAGTTTGAATGCAGAAGCAGATATGAGAATCTGCTATTAGAAAGTTGATAACCGAATGTGGACGTCAGGAACTCGCAGGGGTGGGGGTAGGGTCACTATTCTGCTTACTGTTTAGAAGTTTCTATAATACAAGCTAAAAATAAAAAACCCTCAAGGTAAGAAGTTAAAGAGCCAATGACAAAGCTAAAGAGAATTTGTGAACTAGAAGACAGGTTTGAGGAAATTATCTATAATGCAGCACAGAAATATATAAACTTTCAAACTGTAATTAACAGTCACAGAGAGGCGGGCTGGGTGCAGTGGCTCACACCCGTAATCCCAGCATTTTGGGACGGTGAGGCAGGTAGATCACCTGAGGTCAGGAGTTTGAGACCAGTCTGGCCAACATAGTGAAACCTTGTCTCTACTAAAAATACAAAAAATTAGCTGGGCATGGTGGCGGGCGCCTATAATCCCAGCTACTGGGGAGGCTGAGACGGGAGTATCACTTGAAACCAGGAGGCGGAGATTGCTGAGATCGCCCCATTGCACTCCAGCCTGAGCAACAAGAGCGAAACTTTGTCTCAAAAAAAAAAAAAGAGTCAGAGAGAAGCCAGGCACGGTGGTTCATGCCTGTAATCTCAGCACTTTGGGAGGTCTGGGCAGGCAAATGACTTCAGCCCAGGAATTTGAGACCAGCCTGGTCAACATGGCGAGACCCCATCTCCATAAAAAATACAAAAATTAGTCAGGCATGGTGGTGTTCCAGCTACTAGGGAGGCTGAGGTGGGAGGATCCCCCGAGCCCAGGAGACTGAAGCTGTGAGCCGACATCATGCCACTGCACTCCAGACTGAAAGACAGAGCGAGACCCTGTCTCACTAAAAAAAAAAAAAAGAAAAAAAAAAGTCACAGATGATAGAATAACAAAGTCCAACATAGGTTTAACTAAGAATTCCAATAAGAAATGACAAAGAGATCTATCCCTAAAGTTCAACAGGCTAACAAAAAAGGAAATAAAAGAATCTCAACAGGTTATTGCTCAATGTTTTTTGATTGGTCAGTTGGTTGGCTGACAAATAGTGAATTTCATTGAAGAGACAAGGTCTACAAACAAAAAGAACACTGGGAGGCCGAGGCTGGTGGATCACTTGAGGTCAGGAGTTCGAAACCAGACTGGCCAACACTGTGAAATCCCATCACTAGTAAAAATACAAAAATCAGCCGAGTATAGTGGTGCACGCCTGTGGCCCCAGCTACTCAGGAGGCTGAGGCAGAAGTGCCTGAACCCAGGAGGTGGAGCTTGCAGTTAGTCAACATTGCCTCACTGTAATCCAGCCTGGGCAACAGGGCGAGACTCCATCTCAAAAAAAAAAAAAAAAAAAAGTTACAATACAAGGTAACATATATAAAATTCCAAATACACATAGAAGAGAAAAATACAGTTCTTCAGAGGACAACAAAACAGTGATCATCATGGGTTTGGATTGTGATATGGTTTGGATTTGTGTCCCTACCCAAATCTCATGTTGAACTGGAATACCCAATGTTGGAGGAGGTGTCTGGTGGAAGGTGACCAGATCATGGGGGCAGATATCCCCCCCTTGCTGTTCTCACAACAGTGAGTTCTCACGAGATCTGGTTGTTTAAAAGTGTGGAGCAACTCACGCTTCTCTCTCTTCCTCCTGCTCTGGCCATGTAAGACGTGCCTGCTTAGCCTTCACCTTCTGCCATAATTGAAAGTTTCCCAAAGCCTCCTCAGCCATGCTACCTGTACAGCCTGTGGAATCTGTACAGCCTCTTTTCTTGATAAATTACCCAGTCTCAAGTATTTATTTATAGCAGTACGAGAAAGGATAACAAAGATTGTTAGGAAAACTTCACAGCAAGGAAGAAATTGTGTTGAGCTTTGAAGGACAGATAAGATTTGAATAAACATTCTAGGAGGAAGAGCTACAAGAATGTAAAAGGTAAATTACAGAGTATATACTAGTCTAGCTGGTGAAGAGGCAGAATGGAATAGTCATACTCAAAAATACAGGAAATAACACTAGAAAAAAAGATTAGACCTTTAATCTTAAGTTTTGGACTGAGAAGCTTAGATTTATCCTATATTCAAAAGGGAAACATATGTTTTGAAAAAGGAAACAATATGATAAACATAGAATCAAATATTTCTAAATTTACTTTTTTTTATTTTTTGAGACAGAGTCTCACTGTTGCCAAGGCTGGAACGTAGTGGCACAATCTCAGTTCACTGCAACCTCCACCTCCTGGGTTCAAGCAGTTTCCCTGCCTCAGCCTCCTGGGGAGTACAGTCACCTGCCACCATGCACGGCTAATTTTTGTGTTTTCAGTAGAGATGGGGTTTCACCATCTTGGCCAGGCTGGTCTTGAACTCCTGACCTCGTGATCCACCCACCTCGGCCTCACAGAGTGCTGGGATTACAGGCGTGAGCCACCATGCCTGCCCTGGATTTTACAACAGAAAGAACTAGGCAAAAACATTAAACTGGAGTTAAAATTTTAAGCTAATTAAATTAGCTTTTTTCTCCTTTTCTTTAAGAGAGAGGATTTTCTTCTGTCACTCCTGGCTTCAGGTGACCTTTCCACCTTGGCCTCTCAAAGTTCTGGGATTACAGGCGTGAGTCATTCCACTCAGCCTAAATTAGTTTTAAAACGCAGAGCTGGCCAGGCGCAGAGACTCACGCCTGTAACCCCAGCACTTTGGGAGGCCAAGAAAGGTGGATCACCTGAGGTCGGGAGTTCAAGACCGGCCTGACCAACATGGAGAAACCCCATCTCTACTAAAAATACAAAATTAGCCAGGCGTGGTGGTGCATGCCTGTAATCCTAGCTACTAGGGAGGCTGAGGCAGGAGAACTGCTTGAACCCAGGAGGCAGAGGTTGCAGTGAGACAAGATCGTGCCACTGCATTCTAGCCAGGGCAACAGGAGCAAAACTCCTCTCAAAAAAAAAAAAAAAAAAAAAAAAATGCTGAGTTAATGGCCAGGCACGGTGGCTCACGCCTGTAATCCCAGCACTTTGGGAGGCCGAGGCGGGCAGATCACCTGATGTCAGGAGTTCAAGACCATCCTGGCCAACACGGTGAAACCCTGTCTCTACAAAAATACAAAAATTAGCCAGGCATAATAGCAGGTACCTGTAATACCAGCTACTCGGAAGGTGGAGGCAAGAGAATTGCTTGAACCCAGGAGGTGGAGGTTGCAGTGAGCTAAGCTTCTGCTTCAGCCTGGGCGACAGAGGCAAGATTCCTTCTCAACAACAACAAACAACAAAAATACAGAGTTAAATAATTTTTGAAAGTATTCTGAATTCATTGTTTTCAAAACTGAAGATTATTTATACTGCCAAATCCTACATATTTAATATTTTAAGTTAATGTGATCCCTTAAGATAAAGAATTGTAGTTTTCTATGCAAAAGCTAAATCAGCTTGGAGGTAAGCAAAAGTTTGAATAAATCTGCACCTCTTCTTCTGGCAGCATCTTTCTCCGCCCATCCTTCACCGGAAATCCACTTCCAAAGTCTTTTGAGGAGATATCTGCCCCATATTCCACGATGACATCTTCTTCAATGCTGCTTACCAGCCGCCAAAATTCCTTTTCTACTAGTTCTGTGGGAACCATCTACACAGAGAAAAGAAAGATGACAAATTATTAAACCGCTATAACTATAACCCAGTATAACATAATACACAGGGTCAAGTAAACACAAACCCATGATGAGATTAAAAATCTTCTGATTCCCTAGAGAAGTAAAGACCCAGATCCTAGCTTTTTCCATTGAGAACAGGGAAAAGCTGAGATAACTCAGACATTCAGAAAAACGTAATGAACCGTGCTGCCCTTTTCTGAAGGAAACTGTTTCCCAAGAAAGAACAAAGATGAATCAGGAAATCAAGGAGGAATAAGGAAATGTAAACAGCAAGACTAAATTTTTTAATAGCTTCTATGTTTTGCCTTTTATTTTATGATTTTAACACAAAATTTCATTTTCTTTTGGTTTTTTATTATACTTTAAGTTCTACATTGAGTATTTTTCCTAATGCTAGCCATGACCCCCCAGACAGGCCCTGGTGTGTGATGTTCCCCTCCCTGTGTCCATGTGTTCTCATTGTTCAACTCCCACTTATGAGTGAGAACATGGGGCGTTTGGTTTTCTGTTCCTGTGTTTGTTGAGAATGATGGTTTCCAGATTTACCCATGTCCCTACAAAGGACATGAACTTATCCTTTTTTATGGCTGCATAGTATTCCATGGTGTATATGTGCCACATTTTCTTTATCCAGTCTATCATTGATGGGCATCTGGGTTGAGATTTCAAGTCTTTAAGGCAAGACTAAATTTTAATAACTATAGCAAACTTTTTGGACAGGGACTAAAAAAGCCTAAGATATCCTAGGAAAAGAAGCAAACCCCACAGTAAAAAAAAAGAAAAGCAGCAACTGTCCAATACTTTATGCTTTTCTGTAAAGGATTACTCATAGAGGGCTAATATAACAATTCGAGCATCAAAATAGACTTTACAGTGGTGCGTAGTGGCTCACACCTGTAATCCCAGCAGGTGTGGGATGGGAGGCCGAGGCAGGCAGATCACTTGGAGGCAGGCAGATCACTTGATGTCAGGAGATCGAGACCAGCCTAGGCGACATGGTGAAATCCCGTCTCTATTAAAAATACAAAAATTGGCTGGGCGAAGTGGCTCATGGCTGTAATCCCAGAATTTTGGGAGGCCAAGGCAGGTGGATAACCTGAGGTCAGGAGTTTGAGACCAGCCTGACCAACATGGTGAACCCCATCTCTTCTAAAAACACAAAAATCAACTGGCAGTGGTGAGTGCACCTGTAGTCCCAGCTACTCGGGAGGCTGAGACAGGAGAACTGCTTGAACCCGGGCAGTGGAAGCTGCAGTAAGCAGAGATGGTGCCACTGCACTCCAGCCTGGGCAACAGAGCGAGACCCTGTTTAAAAAAAAAAAAAATCCAAAAGTTAGTCAGGTATAGCAGTGCACGCCTGTAGCCCCAGCAACCTGGGAGGCTGAGACAGGAGAATCACTTGGCCCTGGGAGTAGGAGGCTGCAGTGAGCCGAGATCATGCCCCTGCGCTCCAGCCTGGGTGATAGAATGAGACTCCAACTCAAAAAAAAAAACAGATTTTACAACAAAGGAATACATACTGCCACAACAGACAGTGAAAGAAAAAGAAATAGATGTCAGGCCCCTGGTTTTAAGATGCAGTGTTTCATCATCTTTTTCATGCAGTCCCTGTTTTCTACAAAATAATAAAAGTAAAAGAGAAGGCCGGGCACAGTAGCTCAAGCCTGTAATCCCAGCACTTTGGGAGGCCGAGGCAGGCAAAACACAAGGTCAGGAGTTCGAGACCAGCCTGGCCAATATGGTGAACCCCCATTTCTACTAAAAATACAAAAATTAGCCGGGCATGATGGCAGGTGCCTGTAGTCCCAGCTACTCAGGAGGCTGAGGCAGGAGAATCGCTTGAACCTGGGAGGCAGAGGTTGCAGTGAGCCAAGATTGTGCCACTGCACTGCAGACTGGGTGACAAAGCAAGACTCTGTCTCAAAAAAAAAAAAAAAAAGAGGAAACTGAAGGCTTTGGACTCAGATAAATCTTTGTACCTCCCCAGACTGACCTAAAAGATAGTTTACTCACATGGACTGGCATATTAAAATAATCAGACTTAAAATTATCTGCCATCTCTCCAAAGCTCTGAAGTGTATATTCTCGTACAGCTTGTTCAAATCCAAAGGCTTCTCGAGGTTTGCTACATTCCTGGAAAGAAAAAATATGTCAGATTCACTCACTGAAACGAAACTGAAGAAAGCTTTCAGGCTCTTAGTTACCAACTTCTTTGATCATTTCCCCAGGTAAAGCAAATCCAATCAACCCCAGACAACAAAGCAAATATCAGCTTCTTACAATACAGTACCAGGAAGTATTTTCTAGAGTCTCGACTTCATCGTCACAGCCTTCCAACAGGAAGGCGGCACTAAGACGGCTTTAGATCCAGAGCAGCATTAAGTTCTGGCACCAAGACAAACATCTAAAGGACTGACTTGGAATCATTCCGAGGGATGCCTAACACTCTTGGCACACCAGGGGTTTTGGCCACGGAGAAAATACATGTTCGTGGAGGAGGGAAAGGTAATGGATAAGGGGACAGCCACTGGACTGTGAGGATATCGGACTAAGAGAATAGCTTGCTCACACTACCAGTCACCACGACCAGTGTCTTAACACGACGACTCACTCAGAGTAGAGCTGCCTCTGAATCTTCTAACCTTGAGAATAGTAAATAAGCAATAATTCAAACGGCATAAAAGACCTTTGAATGCATTTACATACACCCAGCCAACACCTTCTCTTTAATGTCCTATCACAGCATTTTGTTAAAATAGGTACACAGCCTGGGCATTTCACGACAATGACAGTACTACAATCTTTCACTAAGAAAAATTTAGCACAATCAAGTAAAAATTTGGGCAAGCTAAAAGATACCATCAGGGCCCAGCACAGTGGCTCGCATCTGTAATCCCAGCACTTTGGAAGGTCAAGGCAGGTGGACCACTTGAGTCCAGGAGTTTAGACCAGCCTGGCCAACATGGTAAAACCTTCTCTCTACAAAAAATACAAAAATTAGCTGGGCGTGGTGGCATACGTCTGTAGGGAGGCTGAGCTGGGAGTATCACCTGAGCCCAGACATCAGAAGTTGCAGTGAGCTGAGACCGTGCCACTGCACGGTAGCCTGGGTGAGAGGCTGCAGACCCTGCCTCAAAAAAGTAAACAAATAAATAGTAAATAAATAAAAGATATCATCAATTTATTTAATAGCATGAAATTGGATGCATAAATCCCAAGTTCCACAGTTTCGTGTCTGGTTATACTTTCAATTAATAGAGAAAAAACAATCTATGCTTTTCTTCATTTTTATTGTTGTCCAGCAATATAATAAAGTCTCATTATCTGCAGCAATAAACAGAATGACCTAACCAACAGTCAGAAAAAGAACCTTTGAAAGGCAAGCTACCACAATACAATTGTTACATTTCCATTCAATATAGACATTTTAAGTCCTGGAAATTGACCAGGCACGGTGGCTCATGCCTGTAATCCCAGCACTTTGGGAAGCCGAGGCACGCAGATCAGGAGGTCAAGAGACCGAGACTATCCTGGCCAACATGGTGAAACCATGGTCTCTACTAAAAATACAAAAATTAGCTGTGCGTAGTGGCTCGCCCCTGTAGTCCCAGCTACTTGGGAGGCTGAGGCAGGAGAATCGCTTGAACCCGGAAGGTGGAGGTCGCAGTGAGCTGAGATCACGCCATTGCATTCCAGCCTGGTGACAAAGCAATACACCATCTCAAAAAAAGAAAAGTCCCGGAAATTTTAAACACCACATAATGAAGAGAGAATGACAAAAGGAAACATATTGGGAATATGTTTACATGTATGTGTACATGCATGTATCATTGTTTTTAGTTTAAAAAGGATCCATAGAGGTTAGACTTGTACCTCAGCAACACATTTAGGACACCTCCAGTCTCCTTTGGGCACATCAGGTAGAGGAGGAATTAGACAAAACGTATGATAGCTGTCATCACATCCGTCACACAAAAGCAACTTATCTTCATTGTTTCCCCGACCACAAAACATACAAACATAGAGATCAACCTGTTAAAAAAATGAAAATAAAAGTCTATTTTCCATAATACTAAATTTTTACCAGGAACTCCTTAGCTGAAACAAACAAAATAATGCAACTGAAAAGTAAACATAACTTAAATCCTGAATGTCTATTTCAAGAAATTGTATTTAAACAGCTTTTCACAAAACTCCCTAAATTTTCCTCCAGAGTTTTTACAAGCAAGTTAATAAAAGTATATCAGGTTGTTAAAGAAAGACTACAAATCTAGGGTATTTGAAAATCAATTTACATATATTTTTTAAAATACCATGTCCTTCTTCCCACATACGAATACTCTTTGATAGAGAATGAAGACCGAGACTGTCTATGATAGAACTCAACGATTACACAGATTCATTTTCACGCTCTCACTTGGTTACCCATAAGGTATATGACTTACAGGAAGCAGCCTACGTACATAAGACAAAGCAAGGTTAACAACATAAACAAAAGCTGTAACTTCATAGATTTGCCATCAAGTCTTCTAACCAAATGAGCTAACTAAATACATACCAAGATATACCAGGATAGAAAGTGCAAAACTATAATAAAAATAAATCCTTTCCCTCCTGACGGACCCCAAAACACTTACAAAGTTAACAGAGAGAGTGCCTTTCCGTTGTCTCATTTGCATGTTAAATGCGTCTGACCTGTTGGTAACTTTTCGTCTTCGGGTGACCTCATCTTGAAATAAAAAGTTATACAATAATAGTAAAAACTAATGTTGAGAGCTTACTATGGACGAGACACTATTTAAAATTATTTAAATTAGTTAAAATCTTACAACTGTTTATCTATCTAGAGGTAGATATACTATTTATTATCTCTCACTGAAGATGAAGAACCTGAGGTACAGCAAAGTTAATAACTTGCTCAAAATCATACAGCAAGGCAGATTTAAGATTCTAATCCAGTCATGTAGGATCCAGAGAGCTTACCCATTAATGCTGTATTTGTATGCAGTACGTACTACATACAATCCACAGGTATTACTTGGAGGAACTCCCAAATTAGGGACTAATTTCTAAGACTGTTGACAGCCAATACTATAATTACAAGAATAACAAAAATAAAGTACTTAATTCTTCAAAAGGAAATATTATCATTATTACGATGTATCTAGTAAGTCTTATTATATGGGATGTTTTAAGAGAGATGGAACAATATTATTTAATCTTCTAGAGTTCAGTCCACTACCTGAATTGTATGATTTAACTACACATCTAAGTACATAGTAATTAGTATTTGTGACTGTAGCATTTCATTAAGTTCTTATATAGTCAAAACATATCCAGCCTAATCTTTGTTAAACGGTTTTAAAATTGACATGTTACATAAAGAGAACAGTGGAACCTGATCTTTGCACGAGCAGTTCTACTGACAAAAAACTTCCACACGTGAAGCCGAGAGTACTAGACTTACTAAAGAAAACAGTTTATTCAAATGAACTGACATAATATATCAAGGACAATTATTTTTAAAATCAAAATTATGGTTAGAATTTTAAAATTCTAAGTTTCCCCCAGCATATGTTGATATTAAGAGTCACAAGCTTTAGCTCACTAGGTAAGAACCATTAATTCCACCATTCTCTCATAAACTAGCCTTTAGAAACTGCAATAAATTTGTGTCATATATTAGATATAGAGAAGGAAAATCCTCTCCTCCAAAATCATAAAACTTCAACCTAAGATTGCTCTTCACACCTTAAACTTAAGATATCTGGCATTAAAAAAGGCGATGTGCCTGGGAACCACATTGCAACTTTACAATTCTTAAGAAATTCCCAGCACAGACTGCAATTCAAGTATCATTTGAATGTTTTTACAACCATATTCTACCTTATCTCTTTTCATGATCAAATAACAAATCTTACCTTCTTTATCTTTTGTTCCCATTGCCAGGCCCACAACCTTGGGCCCAGCCCCAAAAATCTGAAGTTTCTTCAATTCCGTGTTTCTATTCACATCTCCAGATTCTGACTAAAAAATAAGCAAAATTCACATAAGCATAATTATGCTGATTCATGCATTTATTTTTTTACCCCAGAAAAGTTTCAGGATCCTCTTCAAAACGAAAGAACAAATTATTGGATTTCTTTTCTGTAAATCCACTTCGCTGCCTCATTACCGCAGTTGAAAACAGTCACCAAAACACCATGCACCCAGATTCCTTTCCACAAAATAAAATCCGTGTATGACTCATAAAAGCACAGTTGTCAAGCTGTCTAAAGACAGACACTGCCGGTTATCACACCACAGAAATCCCCACTTCTAACTTGCTGCTGGACACCTGTATTTGATTAGAGAGCATCTCAGGACATGAACTGTGACTGTCCTAAGCCAATCATACTAACCTCATTTTTCTTTGTTGGTGATGACCAACAAAGGGGTGGGAATGTGATCCAGTTCTAGCCAGCGGGACATTAAAAAATTGTACTGGAATCCCCTGGGAAAGATTGCCATCTTCTAATAAAAGGCAAATGGCCAGGCACAGTGGTTCACACCTGTAATCCCAATACATTGGGAGGCCAAGGCAGGTGGATCATTTGAGTTCAGTAGTTACAGACCAGCCTGGGCAACACAGGGAAACCCCATTTTGACAAAAAGCACAAAAATTAGCCAGGCAAGGTGGTGTGCATCTGTAGTCCCAGCTACTTGGGAGGCTGAGGTTGGAGGATCACTTGAGTTTGAGAGGTTGAGGTACTGAGGTGAGATCATGCTGCTGAACTCCACCCTGGGCGACAGATGAGACCCTGAATCAATCAATGGGAAAGCTTCTCCCAGCTTGGGCAACATAGTGACCCCCCTGTCTCTACAAAAAAAAAAAAAAAATTAAAAATTATCTGCACATGGTGGCACACACCTGAAGTCCTAGCTACCCAGGAGACTGAGGCAGGAGGATCACGTGAAGCCCTGGAGTTCAAGGCTGCAGCGAGCCGTGATTGTCCTACCACACTTCAGCCTGGGTGACAGAAAAAGACTCTGTGTCAAAAAAATAAAAAGGAAAGCATCTTAAAGAATAAGTCCTTTTGGAGGCCGGGTGCAGTGGCTGACGCCTGCAATCCCAGCACTTTGGGAGGCTGAGGCGGGTGGATCATGAGGCCAGGAGTTCGAAACCAGCCCGCCCAATATGGTCAAACCCCATCTCTACTAAAAATACAAAAATTAGCCAGGCATGGTGGTACACGCCTATAGTCCCAGCTACTCGGGAGGCTGAGGCAGAACTGCTTGAACCCAGGAGGTGGACGTTGCAGTGAGCTAAGATTGAGCCACTGCACTCCAGCCTGGGTGACAGAGTAAGACTCTGTCTCAAAAAAAAAAAAAGAAGTTCTTTTGCCCCAACTCCCTTCCTTCCTGCTAAGGGACTCAGTCTGGTGAAAACATGGTGCTGGACTCTGCAGCAACCATACCACAACTGGGAGGAAATTTATTACCCACACACTGAAGAAAGCAAGGCAGAAAAATGGAAAGAACCTGGGCCCTTGACCAATCCTAGAACTACTTACCTCTGAAAACCTTATGTAAAAATGTATTCTTATGTGAAAAATTAATTATTAATGTTTAAGCTACTATCACCTGGCATTCTAATACTTGAAAGTGAGAACATCCTGACAGATACTGGTATTCAATCTTGAATTAAGATTAACCATAATCTCTGAATATAGACTAAATAAACAGCCAAAATTTATTTTAAGTGTATAATAAAGAATAAGCATAAAAATAAACCAAGATAAAATACAGACTACTTTATAAGTCTGTGGTTACATAACAAACGATGTATGCAATCTAGACTAACGAAAGATCATATAAGCACAAAACCTAAATGCCATTTCAATATTTATCTTTAAACTTTTGTAGACTGATTTGGTTATACTAACCAACTTCTACTGTTAGTCGAACGAGAAATATACCACCACACATTCTTTACCATTATTAAAGCAGAGTACATAACAATAAAGCTGATACATGTTCGGTAAATAGTATGTGCCATATCTAAGTACTTTAACCAATTAGTCCTTACAACAACCTTTTCAGAAAAGCAATAAAGTTCCAAAAAGTAGAATAAAACAACATTCTTTGATCTAAAACTCAAAATAACAAAATTAAAAAGGACCTTCCACCTGAACATTTTAATTCTCTACTTAAAAAATAACAGGCCAGGCACGACGGCTCACATCTGTATATCCCAGCACTTTGGAGGCCAAGGCAGGTGGATCACGAGGTCTGGAATTCAAGACCAGCCTGGACCTTGTCTCTACTAAAATTACAAAAATTAGCTGCACGTGGTGGCAGGAGCCTGTAATTCCAGCTACTCGTGAGGCTGAGGCAGGGAACTGCTTGAACCCGGGAGGTGGAGGCTGCAGTGAGCTGAGATCGCACCACTGCACTCCAGCCTGGGCAACAGAGCAAGACTCCGTCTCAAAAAATAATAATAAATTTTAAAATAACAATAAAAAGACTACATATTAGATCTCTAAAACAAATTAGTGATCACAGGAAATTTTATAGTCTTAAACATTTCAATAAAAACAAAAGAATAAAATTAAATTCCCAACTCAAAACACCAGGAAAAAACTAGAAGATAAACCAAAAGAACTGTGGTGCTGGATTAGAGCTGGATTAGAGGATAAATGCAAAATATCAAGTTACAAATTTTAAAAAATTTATTTTCTAGCCCTGACCATTTAAAAGAGCCTAGAAGCATGATATCCCAGTGGGAACAAGCAGACCGTGTGCTCAGATCATGGTTTCTAAATACCATTTCAAACACATAAATGAACCAGGATCCCTAGTAGAAATTTCAGACATAATAGCAGCCAGCACTTGCTTAAAGACTGGACATGGAGTATAGGGAAATAAAGAAATCAAGGAGTTTAATTCATCTGATTCATTCAAAGGCTTTTAAGGTTGGGCACTGTGGTTCATGCCTGTAATCCCAGCACTTTGGGAGGCCAAAGCAGGCAGATCACTTGAGCCCAGGAATTTGAGAACAACCTTGGCAACATGGCAAAACCCTGTCTCTACAAACACACAAAAATTAGCTGAGTGGTGGTATGTACTTATGGTCCCAGCCACCCGGGAGGCTGAGGTGGGAGGATGGCTTTAGCCTAGGAGGCAGAGGTTGTGATTACCCAAGACTGCACCACTGCACTCCAGCCTGGGTGACAGAGTCACATGCTGTCTCAAAAAAAACGCCAGGGGGAGTGGGGAGTGGGAAGGAAGGAGGAAGGGAGGAAGGGATGAAGGGAGGGAGGGAGGAAACAAGGAGAGAAGGAAGAGATGATAATAATCTTTCAGATGTATTGAATTTGGCATACCTGTACTATTGCCAATCGTAAGTACACACGTATACGTACACACATACCCCTGGCGAAAAGAAAAGGATGGATGTTAAGACAGATTTGGGCTGGGTGCCATGGTTCACGCCTATAATCCCAGCACTTTGGGAGGCTGAGGCAGGCAGATCACTTGAGGCCAGTTCAAGACCAGACTGGCCAAAACGGTGAAACCCTGTTTCTACTAAAAACATAAAAATTGAGGCTGGGCGCAGTGGCTCAAGCCTGTAATCCCAGCACTTTGGGAGGCCGAGATGGGCGGATCACAAGGTCAGGAGATCGAGACCATCCTGGCGAACACAGTGAAACCCTGTCTCTACTAAAACTACAAAAAACTAGCCAGGCGAGGTGGCGGGCGCCTGTAGTCCCAGCTACTCGGGAGGCTGAGGCAGGAGAATGGCGTAAACCCAGGAGGCAGAGCTTGCAGTGAGCTGAGATCCGGCCACTGCACTCCAGCCTGGGCGACAGAGCGAGACTCCGTCTAAAAAAAAAAAAAAAAAAAAATTGAGCCAGGTGTAGCGGCATGTGCCTGTAATCCCAGCTACTCAGGAGGCTGAGGAAGGAGAATTGTTTGAACCCGGGAGGCAGAGGTCACAGTGAGCCAAGGTCGTGCCACTACACTCCAGCCTGGGCAATAAAGCAAGACTCTGTCTAAAAAAAAAGACAAGATTTGAGAGTTCTGAGCATTACAGGTAGTATTTGAAATCCCATGCACATGAGACAGCTAAGGAGAGTGAAGATGGAAAAGGACTAAAGATACAAAATAAGGGGAAGACAGAAGAGATGACGAAGATGACTAAGGAGTGGTCAGAATATAAGGAGGAAAACCAGAAGAGAGAGCTATCACAAACGAAAGAAAAATCAAGTTAATCTAATTTCAACGACAGGAGTCAACAACCACATTAAATGTATACGTGACCAGAGACCAATTAAGATATGAAATGAAAATGAGAATCTCAGAATTTGACAATTAAAAACCCAGTGGCAACTTGGACAGTGCAGTTTCAATAAAATTACTTAGCTCAAAGTTAGATTATAGAGTATAAAATCTAAACAGACGTTGAGAAAACTGAGACAATAAAGACTATTTTTCAAGAAACTTCTCTGTGAAAAGAAGAAAGGATAAGGCATTATGTAAGAAGGAGGCTTTTATGTTTAAGATGATAGAGACTTAAACACATAATGGGAGGAGTAGAATTCAACAGACAGAGGAGGTGGGAGAGAAAGATTTCTCAGTATGTTGAAATCACTGAAGATGCCAGAAGGGATGGAAGTGGAGGGATTATCCTTGGAGAGAAAGGTACACTTTGCCCACAGAGACAAAGACCAAGTATGAATACCAGCAGTTTTGTGTATGGGGCAAGAAGCAGAAGTTCTACCAGAAAGCCTTTATTTTCTTTCTGAAATAGAAAACTAGGAATGAAAGGCAGACATTCAACAGAACAATTAAGTACAGATTATGATTATGAGTTGAAAAAATTCTTAATTTCAAATCCTGAAATAGCATATCAACGAATCTGAATACAGTGACAATTATCACATTCCATGTAGTCCCCATTTTTTTTTTTTTGAGACGGAGTCTCACTCTGTCGCCCAGACTGGAGTGCAGTGGCACGATCTTGGCTCACCCCTAATCCTTCCAGGTTCACGCCATTCTCCTGCCTCAGCCTCCCGAGTAGCTAGGACTACAGGTGCCCGCCACCACACCCAGCTAATTTTTTGTATTTTTAGTAAAGACAGGGTTTCACTGTGTTAGCCAGGATGGTCTCAATCTCCTGACCTCGTGATCTGCCTGCCTCAGCCTCCCAAAGTGCTGGGATTACAGGCGTGAGCCACTGCGCCCGGCCTGTAGTCCCCATTTTTATAATAAACAAAAGCATTAGAAATAGGCAAGATAATCTTCATGGTTTCAAGGTGAATATCAAAAAATATTTCACCACAAGCTGGTGATTGGTTAGATGGACAGGAGCAACTGGAGCAACTCTTCAAAGCAGAATCACCATGCCAAAGGGACTAGCAAGCAGTGTTTACCCAAATCACTGTACATCCAAAGATGAGCAGAGCTGCTGAGACCAATCGCACTAACAAAAATGACGTAATGACGAAACCAGAGTTTACTAACTTATAATGGGGTTATCATTTTCCAATGACTTTCCATGAAAGTCACACTCCTATCCAGGACACCTTCCTTTCTATTTTCAAAGAGTACCTAAAAAGCTGGGTATTCAGCAAACATAAATTCAGAAAAAGAAAGGCAGAAATGGCATAACGGAAAGATAGTCCCTGATCTGTAGAAAAGCAAGAAGTATTAATAGTCTGCCTCTCCAGTCCTCTTCTCGACACAACCCCAGATTCAGTGTCTCCTGTTAACAGCAGTTTTATCCTGCTTCTCTGATACCCACTTTTGATGCTAATCATTCCCACCTCTATACTACACTGTTTCCTTAAACGTTCAAATCGCCAGGCGCGGTGGCTCACGCCTATAATCCCAGCATTTTGGGAGGCCGAGGCGGACAGATCACAAGGTCAGGAGATCGAGACCATCCTGGCTAACACGGTGAAACCCCGTCTCTACACAAAAAATTAGCTGAGCGCGGTGGCGGGCGCCTGTAGTCCCAGCTACTCGGGAGGCTGAGGCAGGAGAATGGCGTGGGCCCAAGAGGCAGAGCTTGTAGTGAGCCGAGATTGCGCCACTGCACTCTAGCCTGGGCGACAGAGTGAGACTCTGTCTCAAAAAAAAAACAGTTAAAATCAATCATTAGGATTCAGTGAAGTTTTTCCTGTCCATCTATATGTTAACGTACATGGATTAAATCTTAGGAGTTCTAAGGGCACCTCACTTTCTCAGTCTCCAAACTTGTCTTTACTAAAAACCTTAAAAGATCACAGAGAAAAGGAAACAGGGGTTTGAAAGAGAAGCAAAGCTTGGGGAAAAAAAAGAAAAAAGAAAAGAAATAGGGGAAGGAGGGAATCAGACAAAAAATAAATTAGGGCATTTTTCGTCTGATGTATTAGGCTTTGAAATTATTTTAGGTTACATGAACACTACAGTAGTTAAACTGGAATGGCTCGGACACTACAAAATTTATACTCTGGTTCTTAAAGGAATGGTGGGTGAAAAATAAAACCACACTTTCCTATTCATCTCACTTCCGCTAACATAAAAATAAAATGTATTAGAATTCATCCGCATGTCTATAAAATTGGTACTACGGTATCCGGGATCACCCTCTGACTGTCATCCCTGTCAAAAACCGCTAAAAATTAACAAAGAATTTTCTAAATCAAATTACACCACATTTCACAATTTATTCTCCATTCATCTCAAAAGTAAATAAAAATATGGCTCAAGTTTTAAAGAACGACAGTATATGAGTGGTCTCCCATGACCAGATAACTGTTCCACACAGTTAATGCACTTAAAACTCCCATTAAAAATGGCCCATAAGCCAGGCACAGCAGTGCACACCAAGTAGCACTGCTCAGGAGGCTGAGGCAAGAGGATCACTTGAGCCAAAGAGTTCAAGGCTAGTGTAGGCAACATCACGAGACTGCCTATCTAAAGAAAAAAGGAAAAAAAGCCCATAGACATCGATACCTGAGACTTCACACGTCTTGTTCTCTTCGGCAGAGTGTTCATTCTTGTGCCTGGCTCTGGGGAAGTTTGGGTATCAGTGCTGAGAACCTCAGGCTCCACTTTTTCTTTAAGATCTAAATTAGGCATTTGCACACCCTAAAAAAATCAGAGCACAGAAAGAGAACAGGTTCACTGATAAGAAATCATGCTGGAGAATCAGGGGAAAAATAATAAATTGCCAATGAATCCCTAAAACTACATAAAACTGGATCACAATTATCTCTCAAACTGACATACAGCTATCCCTATCAAAATCCTGGCAGGCTTTTTGTTGTTGTTAAAACTGAAAGCTGACCCTAAAACTTATGTGGAAATGTAAGTTGTTTAGAAATTTTGAAAAAGAACAAAAAAACTTAACACTACTGAATATCAACATTTACCATAAAGCTATAGTACTCAAGACAATGTAGTACTGGTTTTAGGGTCAATATATAAATCAATACAACAAAAACAGAGTCCAGAAATAAACCCACACATTTATGGTCAACTGATTTCCAACAAAGATGGTGAGTTAAATCAGTGGGAAAAGGATAGCCTTTTAAACAAATGGTGCTGGTACTACTCAATATTCATATACTCCCTTCCCCACCAAAAAATAAACTTACATCTTCAGCTCATACTATACACACAAAAAAAGCCTCAAAATGCATCACTGACCAAAATATAAAAGCCAAAACTGTAAAAATTTATAGATTAAAGCAAAGAAGAAAATCTCTGTGACCTTGGAAAAGATTCCTTAAATATGACACCAAAAGTACAATCTATAGAAGGAAAAAATAAATAAATGGTTCTTCAAAAAGTCACCATTACAAAAATGAAAAGATAACACAGTAGGAGAAAATATCTGCAAATCATTTACCTGATAAAGGACTTGTACACAAACTGTATAACAAACTCACAAGTATAAGACAACCCAATTTAAAAAAGATCTGAACAGACACTTTACCAAGATATACAAACGGCTAATACGAATATGAAAATGGGCACATCACTAGTCATTAGAGAAATGCAAATTAAAACCACAATAAGACATCACTATACAACTAACTAGAACGGCTATAATTTTAAAAACTGACAATACCAAGTGTGGCCAGGATGTGGAAAACCAGAAGCCTCGACATCACTGCTGGGAAAGTAAAAAGATTCAGCCACTTTGGGAAACAACTTCGCAGTTCTGAAAAACTTACACAGGCCAGGCGTGGTGCCTCACACCTATAATCTCAGCATTTTGGGAGGCCAAGGCGGGCGGATCACTTGCAGTCAGGAGTTAGAGATCAGCCTGGCCAACATGGTGAAACCCCGTCCTACTAAAAGTACAAAAATTAGCTGGGGTGGTGGCGTGCACCTGTAGTCCCAGCTACTCTACTCAGGAGGCTGAAGTAGGAGAATTGCTTGAACCTAGGAGGCGGAGGTTGCAGTGAGCCAAGTTCATGCCACTGCATTCCAGCCTGGGGGATAGAGCGAGATTCCATCTCAAAAAAAAAAAAAAAATTTACACATAAACTTACCATAAAACCCAGCCAATTCCACTCCCAAGTATCTACCCAAGAAAAATGAAAACATATGTCAACTTAAAGACTTGTATATGAATATTCATAGTATTGTTCATAGTAGTCATAAACTGGAAACAATCTAAATGTCCATCGACTGGTAAATGGATAAACAAAATGTGGTATATCCGTACAATGGAATATTATTCAGCCATAAAAACTTAGTATGGACACATGCTATAACATGGCTGAACTTTTTTTTTGAGACAGGGTCTCACTCTGTCACCCAGGCTGGAGTGCAGTGGCACTATCTCAGCTTACTGCAACCTCCATTTCCCAGGCTGAAGCAATCCTCCTACCTCAGTCTCTGGAGTAGCTGGGACCACAGGCGCACACCACCACATCTGGCTACTTTTTTGTATTTTCAGTAGAGATGGGGTTTTGCCATGATGCCCAGGCTGGTCTCAAACTCCTGGCCTCAAACGATCCACCCACCTCAGCCTCCCACAGTGCTAGGATTACAGGCATTAGCCACCGCATTCAGCCAACATTGGCTGAACTTTGAAAACATTAGGCTAAGTGAAAAAAGCTAGACACAAAATCATATTGTATGATTACACCTAGGTGAAAGTTCTAGAAAAGGCAAACTATAGAGCCAGAAAGCAGGTCAGGAATTGCCTGTGTGTGGGGGTGGAACAGGAACCAACTACAAATGAACAAGAGAATTTTGGGGGCTAGTGGAAGTGCTCTAAAACTGGATCCCAGCCATCCTTGCATAAACGTAGAAATTTATTAAAGCTTACCGACTGTGCACCCACAAAGGGTGAACTCTATCGTATATAAATTATTCCTAATAGAGCTGTTTTTAAAAAATTCATGAAACAAACAGGAGTTTTTCAAAAAATTTAAGTCATTAAGGTTTATTTTAAACAAATAAGAAAACATTCTTCATTTCCATTATTATCTTGTAAACCATCAAAAATAGCTATGATTTTTGCACTATGATAAACACTTTGCTTCCCCAAATTTTGGTGCCTGCTAACTTGGGTTAAACAAAATCTAAAGTTTATACTTGGGCAAACTGGATTTATCAACTTTTTCTAAAAAGAATAATGCATCTCACCATAAGGCTCACACCAGACTGGAAAAGCTCATATGGGTAGAGAATTCTCTCATAATGTGACTTCAAAAGAGACCCAGTTCCTTTTCCTGGCAGATATCCCAAGCGACTACCCACTTTAGACCATTTCTTCTCTTTGGTGACCATTTCAAAACCTCCTTTGCTGGCAACAATCTGAAAAGAAAGTAAAAGTTGCTTAGAGAAAAAAATGTAGATTCAAGCATCCTGACTCTTAAGTTTTGTCTACTAAATAGAAAAATTATTCAGGGCTTAAATTTCAAATTTCCTTTCAATGAATATCTAACCAAACTGACACCTGTCAACATTTGGAGTAAGAAATAGAAACAATGCTTTTCAGAGGTTTAAAATGTAATTAACATTATGCCTACCTTCAAACCAAGCATTCAAAAATATTTAATGAATTAATACTCTGTACAGTATGTACTGTGAGAAAACTAAACACATGTATAGACAGACTATCTACTTAAGGAACTCACAATATGAAATAAGAATAAAAACAGATAAAAAATTGACATGAAAATAAATGTTATATAATACAAAATAAACATAAATCCTCAAATTAGAAATAACCAAGTAACTTACAGAACTTAACAAAAACATCAATCAAACCATGAATACAGAGGACAGTTTTGAAAAACAGGCTATAATTTTTCAAAAGGACAAGAGTTTTACATGGAGGATTATAAAGGAACACTGAGGAAAGATTACCTTGCAGTAGATTTACTGATATGGGGTACAGAATATATTGAGGTAGAAAATGAGATAAATTGGCTAACTTGGCTGAATGGTCACATCAAGCCAGGCACTCTACAGAATACGTATTTCAAAGCTCCTTAACGTCCAGGAGCTGTTATTATACATCTCTTAGGCTCTAAAATATAGTCATGCACCGCATAACATTTTGGTCAAAGACAGACCGCATATATGACAATGCTCCCATAAGATTATAATACCATATTCTTACTGAACCTTTGTGTTTAGATACATACACAAATACTTACCATTGTGTTACACTGCCTACAGTATTCAGTACAGTAACATGCTGGACACTTTTGCAGTCTAGAAGCAACAGGCTATACCACAAAGCCTAGGTGTGCAGTAGGCCATACCATCTGGGTTTGTATAAACACATTCTATGTTTGCACAATAATGAAATCCCCATGTTTTTCAGAATATATCCCTATCATTAAGTGACACGATTGTACAGGCAGTTTTCAATTTCACTGAGAAATAAGGGGACTGTGACACAGTGTTCGAACTCAGTTTCTCCTATTTGATTTGGTATATACTACTGTATCTTACTACATAAAAAAAAGTTAAAGCCAGGCACAGTGGCTCACATCTGTAATTTTAACACTTTGGGAGGCCAAGGCAAGAGGATCGCTTGAGCCCAGGAGTTCCAAACCATGCTGGGCAATATAGTGAGGCCCCCATCTCTACAAAAAAATTTAAAAATTAGTTGGGCAGGTCTGGCAGGGATCCCAGGACTTCGGGAGGCAGAGCTGGGCAAACAGCCTGAGTTCAGGAGTTCAAGAGCACCCCGGGCAACACAGTGAAACCCTGTTTCTTCTAAAAAAATATATAAAAAATTAGCCAGGCGTGGTGGTGTACACCTATAATCCCAGTTACTCAGGAGGCTGAGGCCCAAGAATCACTTGAACCCAGGAGGCAAAGGTTGCAGTGAGCTGAGATTGTGCCACTGCACTCCAGCCTGGGCAGTAAAGTGAGACTCCATCTCAGGAAAAAAATAATAATAATAACCGGGCAGGTGGTGTACCTGTAGTTCCCAGCTACCTGGCAGGCCAAGGCATGAGCATCAGTTGAGCCCAGGAGATCAAGATCGAGGCTGCAGTGAGCCATGATCACACCACAGCACTCTGACCTGGCTGACCTTGTCTCAAGTGACCCTGTCTCAAAAAAAAAAAAAAAAAAAAAGTTAAAAGTGACACATAAAATTACCACATGATCCTGCAATTTCACTTCTAGGTATATACTCAAAGAACTGAAAGGAGGGACTCACACAGATTCTTGCACACCAATGTTCACAGCAGCAACATTCTTGAGAGTCAAAACGGAACCAACCCAAGTTTATCAACAGATAAATGAATAAATGAAATGTATAGGACAATAAACATACAATGGAATATTATTCTGCCTTAAAAAGAAAATTCTGATACATCCCAAACATGAATGAATTTTGAAAATATAAGTAAAATAAGCCAGACACAAAATGATGACTACTATAAAATTCCACTTGTATAAGCTACATAGAGTAAGCAAATTCATAGAGACAGAAAGCTTAATAGAAGTTGCCAGGAGTGGTGGAAGGGAGGAGGTCCTGGAACTACACAGTGGTGATAACTGTACAACACTGTAAATGTACTTAATGCCACCGAACTCTGTATTTTTAAATGCTGATGCTATATATACAATTAAAAAAAAAAAAAAAAAGATGAAAAGACGACTCTGGAGCCGACTGCCAGTATTCAAATTCCAATTCTGTCACTTAATAGTTATATGACCTTGGCCAGGCCTGGTGGCTCACGTCTGTAATCCCAGAACTTTGGGAGGCCGAGGCAGGCAGATCACCTGAGGTCAGCAGTTCGAGATCAGCCTGGCCAACATGGTGAAATTCCGTCCCAACTAAAAATACCAAAAATTAGCCAAGCATGGAGGCGCACACCTATCCCAGCTACTATGGAGGCTGGGAGAATCACTTGAACCAGGGAAGAGGAGGCTGCAGTCAGCCAGATTGCACCACTGAACTCCAGCCTGGGCAAGAGCCAGACTCTGTCTCAAGAAAAAAACAAACAAACAAACAAACAACAAACACAGTTATATGACCTTGGCAAAGTTACATAATTTGCGATTCAATTTCCTCACCATCATCAAAATAGTAACAACAGTGCCTACACCTCGTTATGAGATTACTGTGAGGACAAATGAAATAAAATATGAAAAGCACCAGGATAAAATACTATACCAATGTTGCTGTATTAGAAATGTCTATGAGTGTGGACAAATGGAGGGAGAGGGTACACATACTAAAAATAAGTGAAGAAATGTTTTCAACTCCTGTGCTTTATGATGTTATTATAAACAAAGATGAACCTATGGCCAAAGTACAAATTTCCTCTAGCGAATTATCTGAAAGCTTGGTAGAAACACAAATTCATATACACAAGAGTTGAACACACTTCTAGTTCTTCAGCTCCTCTTATCACCCTTAAAGAAGCCCCTTCTGTTAAAAAGAATCAACCAGGGGAAAATTATACAAAGAAAAAAATTATTTTTCAAAGTCGGTAGTAAAGAGAAAGACGCAATGAAAGTGGTTTAAATAGAGGACTATCTGGAAGCAACTGGATGGATTAGAGTGTCTTTCATTCAACAGGTATCTTTCCAGTGCTTCTATACTTCCCGCTACTATTCTAGGTACCTAGGATATATTTATGAATAAAACAAAGATCTTTGTCCTCATGCAGCTTACATTCTAGTGGAGGAAGACAGACAAAAAACAATGAACATAATATACAAATTGTGAAGTGATAAATACTGTAGAAAAAATTTAGAAAGCAGTCAAGGGGCCTCCAGGTAACACAGTAAGGATAATCTGAAGTATTAAACGATCACAAAAAGCCTCATTATAAAGGTGAAATCTAAGCAAAGGCTTGAAGGGAGTGAAGCAGTTAACTAGCAGATATAAAGGGAACAGACAAAGCAAAGGCTCCAAGTCAGAAGCGTGCCTGGAGCATCTGAGGAGAATAAGGAAGGCCGTGGGGCTAAAGCAAAGTGAACCAGCAGGGAGGAGAAGTAAAGGAGCTCAGGGAGGCAACAGGAGCCCTCTTATCTTTACTATCCCATACAATAATAACTCTGACATCATAATCTGCTTTGAATTCAAAGCGTTTCAAGCTGAATTTCCCTTAGTCATGATATACCTGGGTGGATCCAGTCATGATGTCCCACCTGGTTCTGGTGATTAGTAGCAGCCAGGATATGGCCATGACAAAGGAATAAACTATCTCACAAAGAAAATAAAACCATTACTTTGGCTCCATGCATACAATACTCTAACAACCTAACCGAAAAACTCACAAAACCTAATACCTGTTTTTCTTTGGCTGGCAGGTTCAAAGATTATCGTGCATAATTAAAAAACACAAACCAGGCAGGGCACAGTGGCTCACGCCTGTAATCCCAGTACTTTGGGAGGCCACGGCAGGTGGATTACCTGAGGTCGGGAGTTCGAAATCAGCCTGGTCAACATGGTGAAACCCCATCTCTACTAAAAATATATAAATTAGCCAGGCGTGATGGCAGGCACCTGTAATCCCAGGTACTTGGGAGGCTGAGGCAGGAGAATCACCTGAACCTAGGAGGCAGGGGTTGCAGTGAGCTGGGATCACGCCACTGCACTCCAGCCTGGGCAACACAGCAGGACTCTGTCTCAAAAATAAATAAAAATAAAAAATATCAACCATTTACTCCAAACATCTGCCATGTAGTGCATCACAACACTGTCCCCAAAAATATCACTATAAACCATGCTCTATAAAAAGACACATGGCATGCACTTGAACTGGACACAATCAAGACAAGCCCTTTATCAAAACTTGACCAAAAAGTAGTATCGCTCAAGACCAAAACGGCTGGGGATAAAGACAGTTTTAACATACCTGGGGAACAGTCTTCTACTTAAAAGCTCCCTCTAAAAAAATCCACTAAAAAGACAGGAAAGAAACAAAAAAGTATCCTCTCAAGAGGTCAAATAGACCAAGAAAGGAACCAAATACAAACAAATGTAAACAACATTTTGAAGCTATTGATAACAAGCCAAAACAATAACAAAAACAGACAAACAAAAATTACAAGTTTAAAACTAAGTGCCTTGCAACAGAAGAAAGCCAGAGCAGCTTTTGCAACAGAAGAAAGCCAGAGCAGCTTTTGCAACATAGAATCTGGAAAGGCTTAAGAGGACCCCCTTCCTCCTTTTTCTAAAACAAGGAAAAAAAAAAAAAAAAGAAAGTCTTAAGAAGTATTTAAGCAGCAGTACCTCTAAAAGTAGGGGTGGCAATGCAGCAGAGAACAGGATTGTGAAAACCTGTATAAAAGCACTTAGACCTCTCCAACCCCAGCAGAAAACTGAAGATTTA